TTATAAATTCTTCTCCCGTAATAAATTATTTACAGACATATACATGTAGATACATCACGAATTACACACAGTTATAAATTACAAAAGCAAAACGTATTTATTCTCACTTGATGAAAATGCACAAAATACTTAATATACAGAGGTTAATGTGGTTAGCGTCATGATTATCTCATGTTGATAATGTGGTGATAGTGTGATGCAAACCTCGAGCTGTGGATAGTAGAAAGGGGACAGGAATGTCAAATCAAAAACCTTGAACAGGAAACGAAAGGCATGCGAACTGGGAAGGTTAGGGTAGAGGTGTTTGATGCATGTAGGAGAATAACTAATTTTCTATGGGAATATTGTAGAGAGAGAGAGAGAGTGAGAGAAATGGGGTTTATCATCCACTCGACACAATCTAGGTCATTTCGGGACTAACACATGGTTCAATTTTATTTCTATAATTCGCTTGCATGTAGGGGTCTTTAGCAGTGGGAGGAAACCGGAGGACCCGGAGAAAACCCACGAGGTTGGACAAGCTACCCTACTCATTGTCACGTACAACTGGGGATTCGAAACCATGCCAGTTGAATCAATGACAGACCTTATGATACAGGTTATCCAACACCCGGGGAATAGTGTACGTAACAAAATATTTATACACACACATATAAAGACAGACATTGTAAAAATAAAACAAAGCAACCATAGAGACAATCGTAAATCAAAATTGACAAAAATAGTATAATTTTACCTGCGGAGCCGAGAGTATGATTTAATGCAAATTTTTCCACAAAAATAATGAGGTCGTAACAAAGCTAGTTTGTTAGAGAAAGATCAGATGTCAGTCTGATTTATTTTTTCTGTCTACAATTTTCACAAATAATGTATAGACATAGATTATGGACGCGGGTATGTTTATTTTTGTGGCGTTATTAGTGCTAATTGATATGTAAACTACATGTATATAATTGTTATACTATACTTCATTAGACATAATAAACATGACCCGGTGGCTTTATTAGGCTCAATTACAACTCTTTTTATTTAGACAACAAAAGATCTTAAACACTTTTTTAATAGCTTAAGTTAATTATGGTAAATATAATACATCTTAGGAAGTGATTTACCACTAACATAATACTCTACATGTACTGCTGTATATGTAATACTGTACAACAAAAGATCTTAAACGCTTTTTTAATAGCTTAATTATGGTAAATATAATACATCTTAGGAAGTGATTTTAACATTAACATATACTGTACATAAATATTTACTTAGTGGCAATTAAAGGACAACTAGTAACAAAATAAACAAGAGGGTGGGGTGGGGTCGCCCTAATTTTATCTAAGTGGACACTTTAGGACTATATAATGTTTAATTGTTCCTGATATCTTTAATGTTAAATATTTCATTTGGCTGGAGAAAGAGAGAGAGAGAGATATGTAATTTTGGGACTAACATATGGTTCAATTTTATTTCAAAAGCAGTGGGAGGAAACCAGAGGACCAAGAGAAAACTCACAAGGTTGGACAGATGATCCTACTCCTTGTCACACATACAACTGGGAAATCGAAACCACGCCAGTTGACTCAATGACAGACCTTATCATACGCTAACCATTCAACCATCTACCCCCTAAAATTAAATACATGTAGAACCACCACATTGTTAAGACACTTTTGGACTTTAATTTAATGTTAAACAGCTCCTGATATCTTTTGATGTTAAACATTTCATTTGGCTGCAGGGAGTTATCTCCTTTGCATCAATAAAGTTTCTTGGTGCCCAAACATCTCGCCCTTTATTATTGTGTTAAATGGAGTTGGGGAAATTAAATTAAATGATCCTTAGAAGGTCCACCCACATACATGTACCTAATCCCACTTGCCACAAAATAATGTAAGGCCAAACCAGTTTGATTTTCTGTTGTTTAGGGTCTTCATACATGTAAATAAATAGCCACATAATTTCTGTTAAATGTAATTTGTTTAAAATTTTAAAACTTAAAAATTTGGAATAGAACTAAAAGCTTTTGAACAATGCGACCAAGTAATTTGGGATTTTAAATAATTTTTTTCCCTGAAGATACGAAGGAAAATTTTTACAGAAAAATTGAATTGGTGTGGCCTCATTCTATTCTGCAAATTGATCTCTCGTTAGATTGAACCTGAATCCTTTGGGATGAAAAGCAAATAGTTTAAAATATTTAACTTTAAAATAATGTAAGGCCAAACCAGTTTGATTTTCTGTTGTTTCAGGTCTTGATAAATAAATAGCCACATAATTTCTGTTTTGTTTAAAATCTCAAACCTTAAAAATTTGAAACTAAAAACTTTTGAACAATGCTACCAAGTAATTTGGGATTTTAAATAATTTTTTTCCCTGAAGAAATACGAAGGAAAATTTTTACAGGTATTCCTGAAAAACAGAAAAATCAAATTTCTGTTTTGTTTAAAATTTCAAAACTTAAAAATTTGGAACTAAAGCTACCAAGTAATTTGGGTTTTTAAAATAAGAATTTTTCCCGAAGAAATAAGAAGGAAAATTTTTACAGGTGTTCCTGAAAAACAGAAAAATCGAATTGGTGTGGCCTCATCCCCTCTTCTGCAAATTGATTTCTCGTTAGATTGAACCTGAATCCTTCGGGATGAAAAGCAAATAGTTTAAAATATTTAACTTTCTCAACTTGTTTTAAGAGCGTTTAGTCTACACGCCTACAACGTATAATATTTGACACACTACAGACATTAATGAATGAGCTAAGGTGACATGATGCCTCTACTGTGATCATGTACCTGTACCGTGTACCTTTAAGTTTCTAATTGATGTACAAGGAAGCAAAGCATTCATTTTTTGACAGGAATAAAATAAAAATGGAACAGTGTTTAACATCCTACTGTTCTGCTCAGAGTCATTTGGATGAGATAAAAAAAACACGGTCCTGTGACCTGTGAATACATTGGCATGCACGTAAAAGATCCATTGACAGTTGGGCTAATGAAGACAGGCATACACGCCATACAGTGTGCTATGAGGGAAATTTTTGCCTGGACAGCAGTGCTATGATCTACTCCTATAATTTGAATTCCACAGAACCTTGAATGGTTACCATGTACGCGCTGTATCATAAGGTCTGTCATTGAGTCACATACAACCAGGGAATCGAAACCACGCCAGTTGACTCAATGACAGACCTTATGATACAACGTGCATGTGCTTACCATTCAGCCATCCAACCCCCCTTCACAAAGTATACAGGTACAAATAATTTGGTCTGATTTCAGTTGGAAATTTTTTTTTATGATAAACTAATCTGAATAATGAATAATGTTTTTGAGAAAATTGATATGTAATCAAAGATACATTATGGGAGATTTGATAACGAGTTGGCAGTTCTCACTATAATAGTTAAAAACTAGATAATGTACATGTAAAGGCAATTTGCTGAAAATTTCATTCAAATTGATCCACTATGAACCGAAAACTAAGCGGTTGAAATTTCTGGCTAGCCTTGATCATCATTACTAATGTCAGTACAAAAAAACAGCATAGTCTCGATTATCCATTTAATCGTTAAATAGTTATGCAGTAAATCGGCTCATAATCCACTAAAGATCGCAGGCTAGCGATGCCTTCTAGAGTTGATTATGTTCTGGATAGGTTAGTTAATGTCTAATAGTTTAGATAACATTTCAGGCCTAAAGAAAGACCTGCAATAGACAGATTTAGCTCTTGCATAAAGCATGTTTAACACTAGAACAATGGTTTAATCTGAATAATGAACTGTTTTTGAGAAAATTGATATGTAATTAATGCTAAGAGAAATGGTTTAATCTGCTTAAGTAATAAAGCACTACTCATCCTTTTTAAGATGTGAATTATGGTTTATTTGTTGACACTGAAGTCAATTAGGTATATTTTATGCATTTATTTTTTCTCCAAAATAAACCACATAATAGAATACTTTTAGGGGGGAGGCGGACCATATCTTTCATTATAAAAGAAGGGGTTTTATCTGACCAAAATAAACCCACATAATAGAATACTTTTAGTGGGGAGGCAGACCATATCTTTCATTATAAAAGAAGGGGTTTTATCTGACCAAATATCTATTAGCAGTTTTTTTTCCAATATTCTAGATACTTATTTCAGGTACAGCATAAAACAGTTTATTTGTCTTCAAAAATAACTTCATATTTATTTGCCCAATGCTCAAAGATAAACACTTAACACATATGCACAAAATCTGGCATGTTTGATTGCTATGGCGTTTTGCTTTGTTTCAGTACAAAAAAAAATTAAATATTTGTTTTACTAGAAATCAATATACCTGTATCTACTTACATGCAAAAGCTAAATATTTTGATCATTTTCTAAAAGACGAATGCATTATGATTATGTGAATATTCGGTAGCTGACAGTGGCTGGGAAGATGACTTCCAAAACAAATAAAATTTCAGAATAGAGAAAGGGTCCATATTCACTGATTGATGATTGCGAGCCATCTGGTCAAGTTACACGTACATGTAGGTTCAACCTTTTTTGCAAAAATGATACCCCCCCCCCCCTACCTAACCCTTTAAATCAACCTGTACGCCTATGAATATGTTTTAATATTTAAATATACAAGTGTAATTTTGTCAGAGTGAATTATCCTAATATCAATTTCAATATCAACATATTGATTATAATATATAGATGTCAGGTTGTGTATGACTTACAGCCAAATGATCAACAAAACTTATATGAATCAGTATTTAAATTGGATTTTCAAATTGAACAAAATCCACAACAAATGCATAAATGAAAGGTGTTATGGATCATTGACACATACATACATATACCTATAGTGACTCTTGGTCTGTATGACTTAATAGTAATTGCAGCAAAGTGATCAACAAAATTTATATGAATCAGTATTTTAAAATGGATTTTCCAATTTAAAATACAACAAATGTATAGGCTAGCCTTCAACAGTAGAAAGGTGCGAAGAATTATTGACGCATACATACCTAGTGACCCTGGAGAAATATTTCCTGTATTCCAACATTCAATTGGGCCTAATAATTTGATTGATCAGTTATCCACAAGTCTTGATTTTCAGACCATGTGGCTTCTCTTGCAACTGCAATGTTTTATGTGAATTACTCAAGCATCTGTAACATGTCACACCAACTTGAATTTCAGCCATTCAATTGGCCTTGTCCACAAGAGTTCACTACAGTTACACAGGTGTGTCAATAATTATTGACCAATTAAAGCGCTTTTAACCGTTTTTATGGTTAAAACAACAGTATTATTTCACAATAAAATAAACAGTCCATAGAAATCACAAATCTAATATTATATCATCAACAGTTACCAAATTGGTGTCTTTTCATTTGTCCGGGTGCATCATTAATAGTGATCAAAAATTTTCTCATATAACATTAACCCGCGCAAGCAGATCGAATGACCTAAAAATAACTCGTCACCGTTCACCGCCCACTTCGCCTCGTGGGTATCTCAACTAGGCAAGCATAATACGGCAAAACAATAAATTTTTACGTACGCTCCCATCATCGTATTAAAATTGATCTGTCTAAATACAATTTCAAATAATAGAAATTAATTTTGTATATATTAGATAAATTGCTCAACTTTTATTTATTTCAACAGCTACTAAAACACCCGGTGAGATAAATGAACTATTCCAGGTAAACAGAATACCTGTGTAACGACAATGGTGACGTCACAACAACTTGATCTGGCAATCCCATGCAAACAATTTAGCAGACAGTCGAGTTTGCCCCACGCATTTTCCTTTTCCCCCAAAGCTTTAAATAATCAACCGTTAAATAGTTTTATTTAGCTCCCCTAGAAACGGAAAATCGTGTCGCATTAATTTCATTAATTTCAGGTAAGAAATGCGCTGACATCCAGCAGCAATCCAGCAGTAGCAAATTATTTTCAATTAAAGGGAAGCAACTCTAAATTAAAGTGCCCTGCCCTGGATGTTGTTTTTCCGAATTGACCTCTACCTCTATATTTCATTTCTGCAATTCTCGACAGTTTAGAATTATTCTGCATAATATAGATGCTATGTTTGATTAGAAATAGTTACCAGGTAGTCCAAAGAGGCGTAGTTCTACTGCAGATGTAAGATTTGTGAGTTTTATACTTTGAATATTGATGCAGGATCCGACTCCTGTCCATCTTATCGAGAGTATTGACTATTAACTTATTATTATTAAAGATACATTATGGGAGATTTTTATAGAGAGTTGGCCATTCTTGCTATATTAACAGTTCAAAAGTAGATGATGAAAGAAGAATATATTGAAAATTTCAGTCAAATTACTTTATTCTGAACATAGTTATCATCGTCGTAATATTTGACTAGAAATGGTAGTGAAATGTGCCTTCACCTTGGCCGATCGTTTGATTGACAGGCGTTAACTCCACCTACATATCTCGATTATCAAGTAAAGTTTTCAGTGGCATGCGGAAACGCTCTACAGCGGCCTCGCTAAGTACACTCTATCATTTAGCCTCGATCTAACTGACGTATTCTCATCAGGGTGCGCCATATTTGAATTTATCAATGAGTGAAATCCTATTTAAATCCGAGCTGTAGCCGAGCCATCTGTGGGTCTACAGAGTTGATTTTGGGCTTGTTGTTTAAATAAAGATCTAATTTATAATTTCTATAACATCTGAAGCCTAAATTAAGACTTGCAATAATCAGATTTTGCTCTTGCATAATGTATGTTTAAGACTATAATTACACTTCCAGTTCCAGTTAGGGCTAGGCACCAACTGGGCCAGATAAGAAACGTCATCTCTCGACCCAGCGTGCCTCAAGATAAGAGAGGGTACCGGTACTATATAGTTTCACTTTGCAAAGCACTAGGTGAATCAGATAGTACTTCAATTCAAAGCAAAACAGTCAATTTTTTCTTCAAAACGATTGATTATTGTTACCGGTGACTATTTATTACATTTCTGTCACATCCTATGCAATTAAACATATAATTCTACCTGACATGGATATGTTGGACAAATTTTTCACGCCTCGCACAGATAGCAATCTAAAATCTCAGTTCAGAGTGGATCAATTTGACTGAAATTTTCAGCAAATTCCAGTTACATTATCTAGTTTTTAACTATTTTTTTTTAGTGAGAACTGACAGCTCTTTATCTAATCTTCCATAATGTATCTTTAAACAAACAGTTGGCAGATTTTTTGATATTTTATCTCGTAGCCAAAACCAGGTAAGTCAAGACAAACATACGCCTTGCAGTGTGCCTGGTAGGCTTTACTGAATTCCAACTGTCCAGGTCAAAGAGGGTTCTTTATTTAATGTATGATTGACATGCCAAAAAACCTTGTTTTCTCTAAATCCACCATTAGTTCAACTCGAGCCCTATTAGCAAGTGTTCGCGGGTATTAAAAAAAATTGAACCTTATGTTTGTCCTGAAATGACCTAGTTTGTGTTGAGTGGACGTTAAACCTAAATTCTCTCACTGTTTCTGTAGATAAAGCCAGAATTAAAATGTAACTGATTTGTGGTTCAACTGTCAATTTAGTAAACCAAAAACTTGTGCGTAACTGAAAACAAAAATTTCATCAAGTCGTATTTGCCTAATCTGTGATCAAAATAGCACATGTAACCGATCATTACATTTGCGTAACTTAAAACAAACATTTCATCAAATAGTGATTGCCTAATCCATGATTGAAATAGCACATGTATAAGGTAAATCCATTTCATAACTTTATTTTGACCAAAGTCCTAAACCAACCTATCTTTCAATTTTCAAAATTCTTGCATATATATAAGGAATACATTTTCAGGATTATATTTTCATAGAATCTACTATTATTTTATTAGAGCAATTAATAAATTCGTTAATTGAATCTAATTGGTGATATAATCCTTTTATTATGTTAAACCTGTATAATCATGTCATGACACTGATTGTCATTATTGCAAGTCAGCAAGACATGTAGGCCACACCAAATTGATTATTGCAAGTCAGCAATACAAGTAAGGCCACACCAAGTTGATTATTGCAAGTCAGCAATACGTGTAAGGCCACAACAATTTGATTTTCTGTGCTTCGGGAACACCTGTAAACAATCTCCTTCTTCTTTCTTCAGGAAAAAGACCATTTAAAAACCAAAAGTACTTGGTTGTGTAATTAAAAAGCTTTTGCTTCCAAATTTTTAAAATTTTAAACAAAACATCTGTCACATGATTCAAGTGGCTATTTGTTTATCAAGACCACAAAGAACTGAAAAATAAAATGATATGGCCTAAGATTAGGAACAGGGGAGATACTTAATTTACATTAAGGAAGACAATTTGTATTTTGTCTTATCATGTTCAGACATGTTCAAATTTTCAAACAATTTTTTATGTTTATCTAACTAACTTACTGAAGTTTATATCTTAATCCGAATAAACACTCCTGTAAGAAATTACGAAATACTTATTGATGTTGTGTAATTTATTTCATATTATCTTTCTGATATACCATCAAGTTCCTCTTGCCTTATCTTTATAGGTTTTGATTGCTAGGAAAAGCTACTAAGTCTATGTACTAACACCAGACAGTATTATAGATCAATTTATTACCATCAACATGGAGAAGGCACGCCATGTTGAAGATGTTCATCGTAATTCTAAAGTTGATCAGGAACCATTCTTCCCACTTGTTATTATACAATTTGCATCCAGCACCAAGCAAGCGGCAATAACATGGTTGATAGCGAAGCTACAAGCGTCAAGAAACGAAGGGGGTGCAGAATTAACTGTTCAGACTATGGTCATGCCACACAGTGATGTAAGTATCAATTTTTTTGGTTTTGTTGTTTATTTACTTATTTCTTTAATATATCCAAGGAATTGGATGGCCGAATGGTTAGCACATGCGCTTTGTATCATAAGGTCTGTCATTGAGTCAACTGCCGTGGTTTTGATTCTACAGGTGTATGTGACAAGGAGTAGGGTCGCCTATCCAACCTTGTGGGTTTTCTCCAGTTCCTCCGGTTTCCTCCCACTGCTAAATGGAGCAAATTTTAGTCCCAAAATGACCTAGTTTATGTCAAGTGGACATTAAACCCCATTTCTTTCTCTCTCTGTCTCACTCTCTTTCTCGCAATTTGTATCAGTATTTTAGATGATAAATGGAATTATGTTTTATATATATATTAGAACTAATTTGGGGGCCCCTTTAATATTGGGCCCCCTTCCTGCAGCCCTCCCCTTGATCCATCCCTGGTTGTAGTAGTAAAAATATATAAACAAACAATTTGTTGATGAAATAAGAAATTATTGCAGGAAACTAATAAAGAAGACGATAACAGTATGGTAAGATGCATGAACCATTCCCTCTTTTTAAATAGGCCAATAAAAAAAATACCTGAATTTACTGTTACTTGGATCCCCAAAATAGGGTTTTTTCGTTCAGAATTTTTATTTTTTTTTTTTTGTGAAGTTTAGTTACCGATTGTATTACCTATTAGTAGGTGTCACAGCTCCATTGCTTGCATTGGAAGAAAGTCCTTTTTTCCCGATATATTTCGGAGTTGCTAGGGAAATCGGTGTAATTGTTACAAAAATGTGAATATTGAAACATAATTAGCCTTAAAGTTGTATTACATGAATTTACATCTAAATTCTTGATAGTTTTAATGTGAAATGAAATTTAGCATCACAAACAACACCAAAAATGACGTTTTCAAAGCTTTGAAAAAGCTTTCTTCCATGAAAAGTCAAAAATCGCTACTTTAAGCCTCCATAATAAAAAAAAAATTCATCTGATTTTGAATCTGTAAAAAGTTTTGTGAGAAGAATGATGAGATCTACTTGAAAAGCTAATAAAATCAAATGTATAATCATAATCTCAAAATCACCTTTTCCACCTATTTCTAGCTCAATTTCTGATGACGGTTCTTGAAAATAATAATGAAATGTCAGTGTTGGAATTTATGGACAGAAAACCACGCCAAGACTGAGTTAAATGGCCTGGAAATTGAGAGAAAATGTTAAGGATCAAAGATTTTAAATTAAAATAAATATAAGTGGGTCGAGTAACCACAAACACAGGTATTTTGTTGTTGTGGCCTTATTATAGTAGGATAGAATTGACTGGTGAATGGTTTTTGTCAAGTGTTTTTAAAACCTCTGCACATGGTTATAATACACTAAATGAAAATAATGGTATTAATTAATAACATTGAACTGTATGAATAACATTCAACTGTGTGAATAACATTCACTGCAACGTTTCAACGAGGGTAGTCTCATTACTGGATACTGGTTAGAATAACCACATTGAAACGTTGCATAACAATGGTGAGAATACCCTCATTGAAACGTTTATCCATAAAGTTGTCTGTTATTATATAAAATACCTTTAAAAAGATTTATTTTAATTGTTTTACATTTCTAGAGCACATTACGTTAGGATGTTATCACATATAATACGGTTTTTATGTACACAATAAAAATTTTTTTAAAGTTTTTATCCTAACTTGTAAACTGACTTACAGTCAAATTCTACTTTCTTTTTTATCCACAAAAACTTTACTTTGTTTTGTTTTTGTTAAGATTCTTACTTTAACACTTTATACAGCGGGGATTGGGTAGTTGTGTTGTCTAGTGGCCTAACGTGGGCATATTAGATGATAAGGTCTGTCATTGAGTTAAATGGTGTGGTTTCGATTCCCCCACTTGATTGAAATAAGTTTGAACCATATGTTGGTCCCAAAATGACTTGGTTTGTGTCAACGTTAAACCTCTATTAAAACTTATGCAGATAGACTGATCCTACTAAGGATATGTGTGTTTTATTGTTAATATAGTACGTACCATGTTCCCATTTGTTGTTTTCTGACATGATTGACAGATCTTTAGTATTTACATTCAGCAAAGTAAATAAGTATTTTGTGTGATTTCAATGCATGCTTAACAGAATGTTGACATTGTTCGTACAAGTTGTATTTTTAATTGATACTTTGAGTACATTTATTATAAAACAAAAAATTATACTGAATAATACATTCTAAATATATATCTCGAAGATTGACATAGTAAAAACTCAAAAAAAAGCCCGGATAAGGTCATCTTCAATAGAAGGCTTGATCTCGCTTTAACTACGTACATCTTATCACAGCCTTCATGTAATACCCTGAATATTTCGGCACTAATTTCGATAGGGCATTCACCCAGTTTTGAGAGCCTATCAGATTCCTCTATCATCGCGAATTCCAAGCCTCACGCTTTCCAGCTAAAATGTCTACCTGTGATAATCAAGTTCCAGATTAAAAGGTTCCATGGAGGTCGCTAGGTCACTACCTCTGATTGGACGCTACTGTTCACGTGTCTGCAGATAACGTAGCTATAAGTTCGTGAATTGTAAAGTAATCTAGCAAAGTTCAGATGTTGTAAAACTTGCAGTCGTTGCTTCAGGAACATGGAATAAAGTTTTAAAAATCATTTCATATTAGGGACATACGTCCACCATGATAAGGTAGATCATGATGTGCTGCATCTGGCAAGGGTGGATTCAGCCCCTTTACTGGTAGGGCCTACAAAATAGAATTGACAGCTAATCATGACAATATTGAATCTATGAACCAGTCGTGCATGAATTATGAAATTTTGCATGTTGTTGTTGTATTTACTGTTTGATATTTATTTATTACTTTGCGGGAACCATGGTGGCTAAGTGGGTAAGCCGCTGGCTCGCTAGCTTGGAGATCGTGTGTTTGATCCCTGCATTGACCGAGAAAGTTCATCAGGATTTTCCGATGCGGTTTCTGTTTAAATGGTTAGCAGTGATATTTATTTATTTGGATTAAATCTCTGATCGTTATTGCAGGGATTTTTAATCCCTTATAAAAGCCCAGTCTCTAAATGGAATATTAGTCCAAAGATGATAATATTCTGTTCAATATTCTAGCACTATTCGATCTTTAAGCTTCATGTTGCCTTCTCTTCCGTGACTGAAACTATATAACTACAGTTTAGGTTCTTTTTCTATCTTTTATTGTATGAAAGCTTGTAGCATAAGTCACAAATCTTCTTCGTTCTCAAATGAGTAAATGGCTGATATGACAGGTGGTGTGAGTTCTACCCAATGCTATTCCCCCACACTATTTTATAGTGCCCATACCCCAATTGGTTTACGTCATAAACTGACCTCAGTCCTAGATTCCAAATATGGAATATACATACCCCATAGCTTGCACCCTTGTAGGGACTTATTACTAAATTTGGTCAACAGACGCATTCCATGAAGATGACACTTGACAAATGTGTTAATTAACTTTTAGTTCAATTCATGTATCATAATATCACAGATTTCCGTTGTTTCATGTGCTGTTTTGCTTGACTATGAATCTATAAATAACTTTTGGTCAAGGCCATAATATTATTACACTTCTAAAGATGTAAAAATTTGTTTACATTCTTCATTCTCTGCAGATGATAGAAATGGGATATGGTCGAAATAATGGACATATTGGACGTGTCCGGCATATACATGTGAAACGACATCCATGGTGCCACCTATAATCATCGCTGAAATCTTTTTAATTTAGGAGGGTTGTATCATAAGGTCTTTCATTGAGTCAACTGGTGTGGTTTTAGATTCCCTGGTTGTACGTGACAAGGAGTAGGGTCGCCTGTCCAACCTCGTGGGTTTTCTCCGGATCCTTTGGTTTCCTCCCACTACTAAAGACCACTAGGCGCAAGCGAATTATTGAAATAAAATTGAACCATATGTTAGTCCCGAAATTGGTGTCGAGTGGACGTTAAACCCTATTTCTCTCTATCTATTTTGAATGTTAATCTGAGTATATTTTAGCGTGGACTAAGCGATGAGAAATTAGATATTTTTCACGGTAACACAAATACAGGAAATATGCAATATACACTTCTCCAAGCTTTACAATAATTAAACATATTTACATTAGTGAAGTATTGCCTGTCAGTATCTGATTTTTTTCCTCGTCTGAATAAATTTAGAGAGAGTATGCATTTTTTTTGGAAGAGTTTTTTCTTGTGGAGATTTTGAATTCTAAATGAACTAAATAAACACTAAACATCAAAAAGTAAACAGGTTTGTTTAAAGTTGTTGAAACATTATCCGTGTGGAATATAAACGGAAACAGATTATAGATTTATAAAAAAAAGGTTGTTTATTTAGTAGTAGATGAATTATTGACTGTATTTAAAGGAGATAGTTCCCCTGTTTCTAATTTTAACAAATGAAATGACGTCTAACGTCCTACCGGTACTTTTCTGCTCCATCTGGGCTAATGTAGATGAGCATAGGGAAATTTTGCCCCGACAACGGCACTACAGTCTACCATTATTTGAAATTCCAACTGTCAAGAGTTATTTTATATGCCCGTCAATGTTGACCTCGGTTTTATGTTCAGTCTGAATGATTAGACCCTGTCCTTTCAGGCCCTCTGTCCTCCACCTGACAAGGTGAAACCAGGCTGGAAAATCCTCGGGACCCCTTTAGTGAGCTAGCATCATACTTACTGAGCCACAATGGCTATCAAGATAAATAGATGATAATTACAGCTGTTCAAATGAAGTAAGAACGTCCAGCCCAGCTCTTCATCTAAATCTTACATAATGCATCTTTAATATAGATAGCAAGAAAGGCTAGACCAGCTCTTCATATAAATCTTACATAATGCATCTTTAATATAGATAGCAAGAAAGGCTAGACCAGCTCTTCATATAAATCTTACATAATGCATCTTTAATATAGATAGTAAGAACGTCCAGCCCAGCTGTTCATCTCAATCTTACATAATGCATCTTTAATTGAATATGGTTTTGATTACAGGGTTTCAGCAACCATCACTCCATTCTTATCATTCAGTTAAAAAATTTCATAACCAAATTTTGTATGGCCACATTTAAATGTGTTCTTGCATAGTCGTCACCTTTTATCCGTCAGACATTTACGAAGCGCTGCTGTTCAGGCAAAATTTCATTAGCCCAGTCGGAGCAGAACAGTAGGATGTTAAACCTCATTTCATTTCATTTTATGAACTTATTAATAAGACAGGGGGTTGGATGGCCGAATGGTTACCACGTGTGCGCTGTATCATAAGTGTCATTGAGTCAACTGGCATGGTTTCGATTCCCCGGTTGTACGTGACAAGGAGAGAGGGTCGCCTGTCGGACCTTGTGGGTTTTCTCTGGGTTCTTCGGTTTCCTCCCACTGCAAGCAAATTGTTGAAATAAAATTGAACCGTGTGTTAGTCCCGATATGACCTAGTTTGTGTTGAGTGGAGTTAACTCTCTCTCTCCCCCTCTCTCTTACTTAATAAGACAAATCTTACAAGTACATTATCATATTGTAAATTACTTACCAGTGGGTAAATTGTTAGCGCCACCTTGATTACCATCTTTAACTTTAGGAAACTGCTGATTTACTTACCAGTACATAATAAATTAATGCCATGTCAGGGTTTTCTTCCTCAAGAAAAAATTACATAGCTTGTAGTAGCTTTTTGATTGCATGGTGGATAAAATTAAAGCCAACCGACTCACCCAAGTAATCTATGCTGCATGACGAAGAGAAGCCCCTTTATTCCACTGTAAATAATGAAACATGTGGTGAAATGGAATATCACTCTATATGTTGGTCACGGTGTGTTTGCTTGTCTACGTACAGCAGGTTTTTTTTGTGGTGATTTGTACTGCGAGATCCGGGGGAGGTGTTCAGGAATTTGAGCAACAGAGGCTTCAAGATGGACACAACGTCAAGTTTGGTGTGTGAGGTCTGGGGGATTACTCGAGAATTTGATAAAATCAGAATCTCTGAAACTCTGAGAAGATTTCTGCTCGTGTAGATGCATACATGTATAAGATTAGAGTACTAAATACGGACCCCCCATGCTGGAGTTTAGCAATTTTTTATCTCTCCTACGTTCATTGAAAAAACGTTGAACAAACAAAACATGCGAATCATTGCCGCCATTTTGGTTTCATTGCACTCTAATCTTCTACTCGTGTATCTACCTAATTGAGCAGAAATCTTGTCTCAGAGCTTCTGATTATATAACATTCCCGGGGAATTCTCTCACCAAAACTTGACGTTGTCTCCACCTTGGACACCACCCCCACTCAAATTCCTGGAAACGATCCTTCTGTTTACCTAAAATTTATTAAAAATATATGATGTTCCATAGAACAACACAAGTAAATAGGTCCATGGTGCATCTTTATTTAAAATATTTAATTATAGAAATAAAAATATAAATGGTCAATAAAATTAAAACTTATGTATTATTTGTATTGGTACTTCCAACAAAATCAATGATTAAATATTTGTAGTTTAGTATGATATAGTATTTATTGGTATAGCAGTATAGTATTTATTGATGGCAAGTCACAACATATATAGATAAGCATAAGGCCCTCTATCTGTGGGGCCCCAGAGCACCTGTCCAGCGTGCCCATGAATTAAAGATGGCCCTGGTTACATTCAGTTACAATGTTTAAAACATTAAAAAACAGCAATGATTAATCAACACATTGTTAGCATGGGGGTCGCTGGTCTCAACGGGGCTCTGGCCAGCTTGCCCATGCTTTAAGCCGGCTCTGTATATATTTAAATCAGTTTTAACCATGTTTTGTTAATTTTAGGAAACCATGTTATATATTGGTGCCAGTACAAATCGTTTATTATTAGCCGCTGAGATGATGGAAATGAAAAAACTTCACGCAGATGGTCGTATGAGAGAAGTTGTTATACATGATTTACAGTCATTTCAAGGTTCAGGTACGGACTCTACGGCATTCAAGTTTAATGTGCATGCTTTAGATCATAAGGTCTGTCATTGAGTCAAGTGGCGTAGTTTCCTCCCACTGCTAAAGTCTGCGACACATAAGTGAATTATTGAAATAAAATTGAACCATTGCATTTTAAAGATTTTTATGTACTAATATGTGCCAGGTTTTCATAGCTTCAGGCAGGTCTAGTGATTTAACGCGTGCACGTGAAATCATAACATATGTCACTGAGTCAAGTGGCATGGTTTTGATTCCCCACTTGTACGTGACAAGGAGCCCTCCAGTTTCTGCTAAAGACCCCAACATTGCAAGATAATATTTGAAATAACGTTGAAGTTCAACGGTTGAACCATGTTAGTCCCAAAATGACCTAGTTTGTGTCAAGTGTTTTTTTAGCCCTATTTCTCTCCACTGCATTTTATAAATTTATTCAATAGGACAGAAAAGTATTTCGGGTGGGGGTGGGGTGTATGTGGATGGCCAAATGGTTAGCGTGTAGGCGTTGTATCATGAGGTCTGTCATTGAGTAAACTGCTGTGGTTTTGATTCCTCGGTTTTACGTGACAAGGAGTATCGTTGCCTGTCCAACCTCGTGGGTTTTCTCCGGCTCTTCTGGTTTCCTCCCACTGCTAAAGACCCCTACACGCACACGAATTATTAAAATAATATTGAGCCATATGTTAGTCACGAAATGACCTAGTGTGTATCGAGTGGATGTTAAACTCCATTTCTCTCTTTCTATTTCAGATGATCTTTCCACGTTCTTTACTAAGGGTGAAAAACAGAAGATATTATTACATGAGATCGAAGGTGTGAGAGCGGAACCACTGGATACAAATATACCCGGTTATGAACAAATAAGACTTTATCCGGGAAAATCTATTTGTAAGTTTTCTTTTGTTAAATTTAATTATATTTTAATGATATTCTTCCGGTATTGTTTTAGTTTTAATTTGTTATTTTTTCACTCCATTCTGTCTATACTGTTTTGTTTTAGTTTTAATTTGTTATATTTTCACGGTGTTCTATCTGTATTGTTTGCTTATAATCGTATATTTTCTTTTGTACAAGCACCATAGATCAGTCAATCTGATTAAAACACAGATCCTATTTCGTTTCATTTTTTATAGTTCAAAATTACTTGTCTTTACTACACTAGGATCTAGAAAAGTTGTTATATAAACCATGTTCTGGTTGATGTGAGGGATTAGTTAATGAAACGGTCTGTTACGGCGAGTTCTTGGCGTGCGATGGACAGAACTATGGGTAAACCACTAGAAACATCAAGTGTCATCACGGTTTCATTAATCCATGTCAAAAGCCACTCGTACGGACCTTGACATGACCTTCCAGTACAACTGGTCAGATCTTCATGTAGTGTAGGCCATCCAAAGTATAAAAGAACGAAACGAAATATAGATCTGTATTTTAATCAGATTGTATAGATTCAGGGTTCCCGCGGTCCTTGAAAATCCTTGAATATCCCTAAATTTAAAATTTTATTTTCAAGGTCTTGAATATCCTTGAATTTCGCGGAAATAGGAAAGTATCCTTGAATTTCAGTTGAGATCCTTAATTTTGTTTCAAATGTTTTCAATTCCTTTTAAATATGAGATGATAACAATAGTTGGTAATGTTTGGGTTATTTTTAAGATGAAAAATTGTAACTTTAGGCTAAAAAATGTCCTTGAAAATCCTTGAATTTGACGTATATGTATCCTTGAATATCCTTGAGAAAATGTTTGACGAAGCCGCGGGAACCCTGAGATTTGCCTTAAATGAATTATTATTTATTGTAAGTTTTTTATTAGTATAAAACAAAATTAATTGGTACTAAATTCTTCATATTTATAAATTTGAATATTTTGGATAAATATTTTAAGAAAACCTTGTGAGAGATGTTTTGTTTGTTTCAAAACCTAATAATTTTAAGACATGAGCTTTTGTAAATTTGAGTAATACTTATATATTGATGTCAATTTTTTTTTTTTTTCAGTAAAAAAGTATTTAAGTCGTGGTTTAGTTTTACAGTTTTATCCTTTACATGATGAGGAAGAAATCAAGAGATTAGGTGATGAATGGTATCAATATAAAAAGGTCTTCAGTGAACAACCTCTGGGTAATAAATATATCTCTTCTTATATATTTAATTCAAGTGTCATTGCCTTATTTAGGGGATACTCGAGGAATTCCCGCCCAGCCGTCTCTTCCCCGCGAAGCCACGCATCGGCCGTCCCGATCATCTGTGCTCCACCCAGCTCTGGACTAAGGAAGACGTCCGGGGCCAGCGCTTCGAGTCGTCCTGGTACGCTCCCCCCGTACCATTCCTCTCGATTCCTGGCTCTCCGGCGAAACCGAAAGCAACGTCACCAAGTCGGCCAGACCACCCTTCAGAAAAGAGCATTTCGGAATTAAATTCTCTCAATTTCAAAAACAATGTCAGTCAAGTGAAAGTGAGAATTTTGGAGTACAACGCATGTGCTGACTGCATAAACAGATATCTTAATTAGTCTTGACAACTGAAACATAAAATATGTCACGTTTTTACTTACCTCAGCTGTTGGGACTGGCAGAACTGTGACAGGGTTGAATTCCATATCATTTAATTGTAATTATGTCAATTCAAGACGTTCCCAACTGACAATTGAGCACCTCCATAATGTTATAGAATCACTTGCCAACTACAATATTGAGAAAAAAAAACAGAACAAAAAACCCCCACATACTTATGGAAATCAAGCTACTAATATATTTAAAGTGACCTTTGAAGTGTATTATCTAACGTTATCAAGCTAATACAGCAGTACAGATATGAGGCAAATATATAGACAAACTATAACAACATAACTGAAACCATACATGATAATATTGTGATAGATGAATCTCTAATATGAATATCAGTTGAAAAATGGTTCAATGGTTTATTTACAAAGATATGTTGAATTGAAATTTTATCGATCTATGGTGCTCGTTATGTTAATAATATTAGTGTTGATTAGTTTGTGACAAATTTTATATTTTAGCGAAAAATGCAAATGACACATCATTACTTTAAACATGCATGATACAAGAGCTAAATCTGCCTATTGCAGGTCTTTCTTTAGACCTAAAATGTTACCTAAATTATTAATTAGTTATTAATTAATTTATCCTGACCATAATCAACTCTAGATGTCAACACTAGCCTGCAATATTTACTGGATTTGAATACATTTTGTTATGGATGATTTAACATCAAAATGGATAATCAAGACTTTGTTGTTTATTGTAACAACTTTAGTAATGATGATTGAGGCTTGGCCTAAAATTCAGTTGCTAATATCTTGGTTCAGATTGGCGCAATTTGACTCAAATTTTCAGCATATTCTCTTTCCATTTTATATTTTTTAACTATTATAGCGCGAACAGTCAACAGTTATCAAATCTCCCATTATACCCCTTTAATAGGGAAGCTAGATAGGGGATAATGACTTCCCTTATAAACTTGTCTCATTTCACAGAAGAATATCACATCCCATAGGGGTGGATAATTATTTATTTATTTTTTTTAGAAATTTAAATTTCTCGATAGAAACCTCCTCTCTCATTTCAATTCAATTAATAGTGGAACTAAATTGACGATAATTATTTCCTTTTTCTTGAAATTATTTGTTAATTTATTTGTGAGGTGAGTCAGGTGACTAAATTACTCTGTCACCATCTTCACTGAAAGGATTGACTCTCGAGTCACCAGTTTTCCACCCTGATTGTATATCAATGTTTTTCTTTGTTCCATTCATTGTATATATATCTTCATTGTACTATGGTTGTCATTGTTTGCTTGATAAAGACGGGAGAACCCTCATCGAAGTGTCGCTGAAATTAATTCTTCAAGTAACTTGTATTCCATGTATTAGATGACCATTTTGTTTGAAATTTAACATTTTTAGGGTTAAATAAAGGTCAAAACTGACACAGCCTGTATCATAGATATTTAATGTGAAGATCTGTTAATTGAATCTTTTATAAACCTGAGATATGATCTTTTCAATTAAGGTCATCAATGGCTATCAGAAATACGATACAGCTTTTAAAGCTGTTCAATCTAAATACATAAAATAGAATAAATTACAGAAACTATACAATAAATAAGCTATAAACTGCAACAATTCACAGAACAAGTGTTTATGTATTTTGTTTAATGTTTTGAAAGAAATTATAGAAAATTTGTTTTAGTTCTGAATATAAAGATAATTCTTCTTCAGATCTTTAATATGATAGGCATTGCAGGATAGCTGCACAACAAAACACAAACAGAATAAACAATACAGAAATGCAACAGGTACAGTGGTATTAGATGCACATTGCAGGGGAAGACATTACAGTAATACAACAGGACAGTAAAATTGGGTACACATTGCAAAAATTGCAACAACAAAAAACGTAGCTTTGTTAGACATAGTAGGATAACTGCACAACAAAACACAGACAAAACAAACAATACAGAAATGCAACAGGACATTAGAATTAGATACACATTGTAGGAGAAGACAATACAGTAATACAACAGGGGCATTAGCAAACAGTACAGGAACATAGCGTAAAAACTGCTTATTGAACAATTTATGATAAAATGTATCTAAAAGTGAAAATAATTTTTTTCGCTATTTCAGATAAAATTCGTAATTATTTTGGCGAAAAAATTGCCATATATTTTGCCTTCTTGGGAATCTACACTGTAGCATGATTCCCGCCAGCATTGATAGGAATAATTTATCAAAAATTGAAAATAATTTTTTTTCGCTATTTCAGATAAAATTCGTAATTATTTTGGAGAGAAGATTGCCATATATTTTGCCTTCTTGGGAATCTACACTGTAGCGTTATTCCCACCAGCATTGATTGGAATAATCTATCTGGTTACGTTCTGGAAGAGCGTGTACAGGGAAGCCATTTTTGCCGTTTTCAATTTAATCTGGTCTACATTATTACTGGAAGCATGGAAACGCTATTCATCCGAACTCAGCTATAAATGGGGAACATTGAACTCTTCTTCTGCTTCAAAGATTGATGAACCAAGAGCTGATTATAGCGGAGATTTGGGACGCAATCCTGTCACTGGTAACCCCGAACCAGTTTACCCAAAATGGAAGCGATCGTGTCGGTTTTATTTAGTCAGTGTCCCTATTATAAGCATCTGTTTGATTGTGGCATTTATTGTTATGTTATTGTATTTCTGGATGCAAGCTTGGGCAGACAGCGTTTATCATTCTAGCGGAGAAAGATGGCTGTATTTAACGATTCTGTATACTCCTACGATTGTGTATTCTGTGGCTATTTTTATAATGAATACAGTTTATAGAATGATTGCTAAAGAATTGAATGATTTTGGTAAGTTTTTGCATTTTATTTTAGAATTATATTTTATAAATATTCTGTAATATTTAGGGCTGTCATATATCTATATATTGCAATATGATTGTCCGCGATTCCACGATATACTGTATTGATACATTTTTGCAGTATCAATATTTTTCTACTTTTATTTTATATTCAGATGTTAGCTAGACTGTTTATAAAGACTTCGTAATCAGTCATATTATTTAGATTTTGCAGTAAACAATAAGTCTGCAAAGACATATAAAAAGAAATGTGTATTCACATAATTCAGTCATATTATAGGCTTTGCAGTATCGGTAAACAATAAAACTATTAAAAAAAACTGTGCTTTGTGATAAACCCTGACTTTATCAAAGTATTACATACTGCAATATATTGCAATACTTTTTGTCAAGTATCGCAGTATATTGCAATACGATTTTTGGTCGCAATACACAGCCCTAGTAATATTGGAAAGAAGTTAGTAAAATGATTTATAAAGATTTAGAAGGATTTACTTTTCATTAATAAGTATTAAATGGAGTAGGAGAAATACTGTTTGCTCTGTAAATAAAAATTAGGAGCATCCAGTTCGGTAAATATAATTCAGTCGTATTTTGTTATCAATATCAGTATACTCTGGTTTCAATATTGTTTTCTTTATGTTACAGAAAATCATCGGTTGGAATCATCTCATGAAAATCACTTTATTTTAAAACTTGTTCTGGTAAATATATTACACTAGTTCTTCACTTTGATTTGGAAAAAGTTAAATATATTAACGCAGAGTTATATTTTACTATCGGGACTGACAATATTGACAATGATATATTTTTCTTATTAACCCATGAGCACTTGGTATATGTAAATAATGACTACCCTAATTTCTTGAAGAAAATTAGAGAAAAGTTATATTTTAAAAATACCGGTACATCCCTGGACAGATGGAAACATTCTGAAACACAGCTGTTCCTTAGACTGCATCAAACAGCCAGAGATATGTGAATAGTTTTTCATATTATAGGACCATTTTGGGTGATGCTAATTATAGGCCAGTGTGGAGGTTCAGGAATTTCTGATGATTGCCGAATCCATTCCCAAAAATGAGTATTTTGGGGGAATACCAACCCTAACCCTTTTTAAAAGACTGAACTTGGATCCAATTTACCTTTTACCCCTCTTAAAATGGTTAGGGTTAGTATTCCACAAAATACTCATCTATAGATCGTCCATTGTGGACTCAACTTCGGTCCAATTTACCACCGGAAATTCCTGAACCTCCCAACCAACCTACAATTAACAATTTCCGGCCAATTTCGTTCTTTTATTTATTCCTTTTCAGTTTGATTTTGTCAATTGCTTTATGTCCCTGTTTTATGTAGCTTTCTATCTTCAAGACAGAACTCTTCTTAGAAGTGTAAGTATTTAAATTTATATCCAATAGCAGATTTGACTTAGTTCTTTCAAACACCTGTACAAATTTTTCGGAAAAAAGACTTACTTATGTATTTAAAAACCAAAAGTACTTGATTTTGCTCTTCAAAAGCAGTTATTTATTTATCAACCCCTAAGATCAGAAAATCAAATCGATTTTGCCTAATTGTAAGTTATTAATGCAATAAAATTTTTATCAGAATTATGTGCCTGCTGAGAAGCATTTTCTTACCGTAATAAGATGATGCTTATACATTATGGGACAAATATGATATTATCATTTAATGGGTGGCGAGGGGGGTGAATGGTCTCTAACACATGTGCTTTAGATCATAAGGTCTATCATTGAGTCAAGTGAAATGGTTTTGAGCCCATGTTTGTACGTGACAAGGAGTGTCAAACGCTGTGGGTTTTCTCAGGGTCCTCTGGTTTCCCCCCACTACTATGTGAGGTATTGAATTAAAATTGAAACATAATATGTTAGTCCCCAAGATGATCTAGTTGTGCTGAGTGTATGTTAAAATCAATGGGGTTTTTTTTTCAGCATTTAGCTTGTTTACTGATAACATCACAATTAATTGGTCAAGTTCAGGAAGCTATGGTGCCATATTTCTTCTTTAAACGGCGGGAGACGCAACTAGCTCACGCTATGAAGAAAAGTGAAAATTTAAAACAGCTAGATGATCGAGCTGAAATAGATAAAGCGATACAAAAACAAGCCGTTTTGGAGGGTACTATGTCCGTGTATGAGGTAAAATTTAATTTATTAAAGATACATTATGGCAGATTAGATAAAGAGCTGGCAGTTCTCACTATAATAGTTAAAAACTAGATAATTTAAAGGGAATTTGCTGAAAATTTCAGTCAAATTGATTCACTCTGATCCGAGTTTACTAAATTCGGTACCAGTTGGTACAGAAAAGCAGAAAGTTAGACCCAATTTCATTTCATTTTTTCATGAAATCAATTTGAAACTTTGCTTTTTTCTTGGTTTGTGATGTTCAGAAATATTAATTATATTTGTAGGGAACAATGGACGATTATCTGGAATTGTTTCTCCAGTTTGGATATGTTTTCCTGTTTTCCTCAGCTTTTCCTCTGGCAGCATTATGGGCATTATTAAACAATGTGACAGAGATAAGAACTGATGCCTTTAAAATGTGTCGAGTATATCAACGTCCTTTCTGTGAATCAGCTTCTAATATTGGTGCCTGGCAGGTAAATTGGTTACACCTTGCTAAATATATACATGAAAAATATTTTAATTTTGCAAAATAGAAACATGGCAAGTCAAACTTGAATACAACCATAGACAGAGACTAGTCATAGACACATAGAATGACTCCAATTAAATAAAGAAAAACACAGCTATGAACTTATCAGTAGACACCAATGAATACTCAATTAGAATCACGTGGTTATCACATTTTCTTAGTGTGCCGTTCAAAATTTCGCGGCACACTTAGGAAGATCTGGTTGAGAATCACTTTACATGAGCTTTATACATTTTACAGGGGGTTTTGGGTGGTCTAGAGATTTAACACCGGTCCGTCATTGATTCAACTACCGTGGTTTCGATTCCCCACTTGTACGTGACAAGGAATAGGGTGGCCTGTCCAACCTCGTGGGTTTTCTCCGGGTTCTCTTGTTTCCTCCCACTGCTATAGAACCCCCTACATGCAAGCGAATAATTGAAATAGAATTGAAACATATGTTAATCCCGAAATGACCCAGTTTGTGTCGAGTGGACATTAAACTCCATCTCTCTCTTTGCTTGTGTGGGGGGGGGGGGGGGCTGGATGGCCGAATTGTTAGCACATGCGCGCTGTATTATAAGGTCTGTAATTGAGTCAACTGGCGCGGTTTCGAATCCCCGGTTGTACATGACAATGAATAGGGTCGCCTGTCCAGCCTCGTGGGGTTTTTCCGGGTCCTCTTGCTCCCTCCACTGCTAAAGACCCCTATGCGCAAGCTAATGATTGAAATAAAATTGAAACATATGTTAGTCCCCAAATGACCCAATTTGTGTCAGACATTAAACTCCATCTCTCTCTCTCTCTCTGCTTGTACGTGATGACCTCATTGGTTTTCTTCAGGTTCTCAGGTTTCCTCCCACTGCAAGCAAATTATTGGAATATGTTAGTCCCAAAATGACCTAGTTTATGTCAAGTGGAAGTTAAACTCCATTTCTCTCTCTTCCCCTGCTTCAAACATTAGATTATGTTTGTTACCTTTGCTAAGAATTATATTTATAAATATTGTAACCAGGTATTTATAATTATTGTAAACAGGTATTTATAATTATTGTAACCAGGTATTTATAATTATTGTAACCAGGTATTTATTATTATTGTAACCAGGTAGCGTTTGAAGTTATTGGATTGATATCTGTTATAACCAATACAGCTTTAATTGGTATGGATCCGACAGTACAGAAATTACTACCATCAGACATGTCAGCTGTTAATATAGTCTTAATCTTTGTCATAGTGGAGGTCAGTTCTTCAAATATATTTTGGTAAATCCGGGTCTTGTTCAGGAATTTGAGCCGCGGTGGATTCAATGTGGAGACATCAAGTTTGGTGTGTGAGGTTTGATGGGGTTGCCCGAGAATTTTGATAAAATCAGAAGCTCTGAGACATTATTTTTCCTCATTTAGGTACACCGTTTTCATTAGCCCAGTTGGAGCATACATGTATAGGATTGGAGTGGAGTGAGGCCAAAACTCTGGCAATGCTTGGACGTTATTTCAGTCAATGTAGGAAAAAAAATATAGTAAATATTGAATTATATTGTAAAAATGATATCTTCAGATCAGTTACGAAACTATCAAACCGTTTTGCAAATCTCAAGTTATCTGATTTCTTTTTTTGAAGTTAAAATAACTGAGCATGAAACTCCATCATTTTTCAACTTTAACTCAATTAAACAGGCGTTATGCAAGAGTTAAATCTGCCTATTGCAGGTCTTCCATTAGCCTTAAATGTTATCTAAATTATTAATTAAATATTAATTAATTTACAAAGACCATAATCAACTCTCGATGCCATCTGATGGCTCCATTATTAAGTAGATTTAAATATGTTTTGCGGATGATGATTTACCGTTAAAATGAATAATCAAGACCTTGTTTATTATCATAACAACAGTATAAATGACAATTGAGGATACACTGTAATCGTATTGCCGATAACTCAGCTCAGAGTGAAGTAATTTAACTGAAATTGTCAACATATTTCCTTTCCATTATCTATGTTTATTCAAGCCAATTGGTAAAATAACGAATCAGCCACTATGGTATCGTAAATAATCAATCTACTTTTGGCTAAATTACAATAGGTTAATTATTACTTGTTTTTTAATAAGACAATCAAATTGCTTGTCGGCTACAACAACAGTCATACCATAGTGAGAATCGGCCATATGTGGTTAATAATCCGAGTAATTAGCACATTTAACGGCGATTTTGATAATCCGCTAAAATAAACAAAACAAGCTTGCCGATTATTCATAATAGTAATAGGTTCAGTAAAATAAGCCACGTGGCCATTGAAGACGGCCTCGGCATGGTTTCCAAATTTCATATATTAAAATAATAACTGGATAATACATTGATGAATTCACTGACCAGTTGTTAGGTTAAATTTAAATCTTCTTTGAATATAATCCCCTGATAGAACATCGAATACAAGGAGAGAGAAACAGTGGATATTTTCCCGACAGAATCTTGATTGCCAAATTCTAATGACACGTGACATATCGGTTGGAATTATATCAATAAACCAGTTCTAAATAGCGTTTACCTTTATGATTTTTTATTTTATACACTACTGACAGAGGTTTAATTTTAAAAATATTATTGAAGGCTATATCATAGTTGTACAGAATTTTATTTTATAGCAATTTCTGTTCTGGTTGTCACGTGATCATTGTGCCGTTTGTCTATCATTGACGAATGAATAAAAACTTTTGCAAGTTACGTGATGGACAAAAGACTACAATTATGTTATGAAGAAATGCCACGGCGCCGTATCAGCTTAATTTGGCTACGGCATTTTCTGATTCTGGCGATAAACAATAAACACAATTTTGTTTTTAGTCAGTATTATTAAGATTCAAAAGATTCGCGAAAATTGTATATATGAGAATCCTCTTAGATTCTCGCAAAAAATGACGAATTTCTAGCCCTGAGCTCTTTATCTAATCTTACCAAATGCCCCTTAAATATTTATCTCAATAAAATAATTTTGTGTTGTTTTTTTAGCATGCAGTTCTAGCTATTAAAGGGGCTGTGGCCTATTTTATACCAGATATGCCTAAATGGGTACAAATTGAACTGGCCAGGGAAGATTACCAATCTAAACAAGCCTTACAAAAAGAGGTAGGAACTTTTTGACCTACATGGAATGAAATGGAATGGGGTTTAAAATCTTGTCATGACTCTAGTTAGACTATTTTGAGACTAACATATGGTAATTTTTATGGTTATGTATGTATGTACCACAAGGTGGGGCGGGGGGGGGGGGGGGGGGGGGGGGGGGTCTGGACTGTGCCTTTTCCATCTACTATTATGAAATCCAACTGCCATGTTTAAGAAAAACTTGTTGTTCTTAGTGTTTAACGTCTGCTTCAACCGAAGGTGATATCGCAGACAAATTGTCTTATTTTTGTTCTCTTACGCACGCGCAGGGGGGGGGGGGGGGGGGGTCTGGACTGTGCCTTTTCCATCTACTATTATGAAATCCAACTGCCATGTTTAAGAAAAACTTGTTGTTCTTAGTGTTTAACGTCTGCTTCAACCGAAGGTGATATCGCAGACAAATTGTCTTATTTTTGTTCTCTTACGCACGCGCAGGGGGCTTTTCTGTGGGAGGAAACCGGAGTACCTGGAGTAAACCCATGTGGCCGAGAAGGCGCCCCTGTCTCCAAACCACATACGCTCATGTGACAAGGAGTAGGGTCGCCTGTCCAACCTCGTGGGTTTTCTCTGGGTCCTCCGGTTTCCTCCCACTGCTAAAGACCCCTACGCGCAAGCGAATTAATGAAATAAAATTCACCATATGTTAGTCCCGAAATGACCTAGTTTGTGTCGAGTGGACACATACGCTCACCCAATATGCTGTTGTTTTCCATCTACTATTTTGAAATACAACTGCTATGTTTAATAAAAACTACTGTGTCTGTGATTAAATGGTGCCCTTGACCTTTATAAGACAACCAATTAATGTCTGGATAATCTAAAGTATTAAAGAAATTTTGAAATGAAACATGGTTTAGCATCCTAATTCTCTGCAGTCTGCACAGACTGTGAGGGGAATTTTGCCTAGACAGCGGTGCTATGGCCTACTCTTATTTCAATTCCAACTGGCAAGGATTCTGTTGGGTGCACGACAATGTGTAGGCTATACAGGTCCTCAGCTTTTGTATCATCCAAATGACTAGACATTGTTCCTTTTAGATCTAGAGTCGTCCAACCAGCACATTTCTGTAGATCTAGAGTCGCCCAACCAGCACATTTCTGTAGATCTAGAGTCTCCGAATCAGCACATTTCTGTAGATCTAGAGTCGCCCAATCAGCACATTTCTGTACAGAGATGTAGTGGAGTAAACAACCCAAAATTGAAACGAAACAATATATTAAAATTTTTGTATATAACAAATAATTCTGTTTTAAAATTATTTGGTATTGTATATAACAAATAATTCTGTTTTAAAATTATTTGGTATTTACTGATATTCGTACATATTTCAGCGACTGTCAGCAGCAAACAGAAAAAGGCAAGAGCTACATGAAATTTCCAGACCAAGGATGTCTTCTAGATCCACGGAGATATAACAACTATAATACACGTGTATTTATGAAAGTCAAGGGTAGATTGCAATAAACATTTGAAATCATTGAGGTCAAGTCAGACGTGGATCCATGATAAATTTAGGGGGTTCAGTCTTTGAATTAGTTTAAAATGGCATCTGCATTTTTTTCTAAATTTTCTGGGTGTGGCCACCCAAACCCCTGTCATTGGCACTTCACATTTGGAGCTGGTTAATTGTCACTACAACATGTCAAAAATATATTGTTTCAATGGCATTCAGTAACTGCTTATTATTGCTCGATAACGACTAGAGAAGCCTAGTTGAAACGTCGCTAATAATAAGCAATAATTGTATTCCATAGAATTGTGACCTGTATATTGCAGTTCAATATTGAAATCTGTAATTTCTGGACCCCTCCCTTACTGAAAATCTGGATCCGACCCTGCAAGTGAAAGAACACTGCTCAATAACATCTCAGGCAACATTATTAGTATATAGTATAGAAAATGTTAGATATTTTATGGAGAATTTTGTATGGATATAGAATGTAGTAGATTTTTTATTTCCTGGGTAAAAGACTTCTTTCACAAGATTAAAGATACATTATGTAAGATTTAGATAAAGAGCTGACCATTCTTGCTATAATAGCTCAAAAATAGATAATGTAAAATGAAAATTTCATTCAAATTACTTCATTCTGAGTCAAGTTATCACTGTTTGTAGTTTTGACAAGATGTGTGCATAGTGGTAACCAGGTCACTGGTATATTCGAGACTTAACCTCGCTTTCCCTTTTTTAAATTGAATTTTTAAATTGCGAACTGTTCTAATCTAGTTAAAATCTTGAATATCCGATGCCAACGAGAGTCGATTATGGTCTTGTCATGTTGAAAAAATGTCTAATTAATAGTTTATATAACATTTCAGACCTAAAGAAAGACCTACAATAGGCAGATTTAGCTTTTTCATAATGTATATTTAATATTGTGTATTTTTTACATGTAACTTCTGGAAATTAATCATTTACCAAATTTTAATCATATCAGATTAAATTTAATGTACTTCATCTTCTGCATAATTCAGTAACTATTTCCAGAAGAGTTATAACTTATATTCCCTGTTTAGCATAATAAACCTTCCATACTCTTTTTTGTACCCACGTATGTGCCTTTTATTAAATATCTCTGCAGCTTCTCTTGTTTCTTAACCGTTTCTATAGCAACAGATGACATCAGTTAACTGATGAGTAGTATAAAATGTTTGGAAGCCATAATAATTTATGTCCAATTTCCTGTTTTCATTTTATTATTATAAAATTAAATGGCAATTTATTCTGTATTTGATAAGAAATTCAGTATTAATATTGTATTATTCAGCCTATATTGGAAATTTCCTTCTGAATAAATGCTGGTAATTTCATTTTTTGTGGGAAAACATTTTCTTTGACTGTTACGTAATTACAAGGCCATACAAAAAAAATATTTGTGTTCTCAGACAATCCTTCCGAAAATCTGATGCGAGGGCAAGGTTTTTATTTTTGTTTGTTTATTTTGTCAGTGGATCACATTTTAAGACACTGATCATTTATCTCATGTTGTTTAAGGAAATGAATGATTATCCAGTATCATTTACTCTAGTTGTTTAATAGTCTCTATCATCCAGACAAATATTCTATGAATATACGTTGAAGACTAGGGGGTTCTGGGTGACCGAGACTAGTTGTTTAAAGGATGTATGATTATCCAGTATCATTTATCACCTGTTGTTTATAGGATGTTTGATTATCCAGTATCATTTATCTTCTGTTGTTTATAGAATGAATGATTACTCAGTATCATTTATGATGGTCAATAACATTTATCAAGGTTGCGTATTTGATAAATGAACCTATGGTACACTTCAAATTTGCTTCCTGTAGATTAGGTAGGGGAATATATTTGAAGCATGAGGTAATTAATGAGATTGTTTTTTATTTCTTAAATTAAAAACAGATAATGCGACCCTTTTTAAGTGGTGCGAGAGTATTATGAGAACCACAATATTTTTTTTTGTCTGGCCTGATGTTAGAATTTTTATAAGTAGGATACATGTATTCTCAACCAAATTGTTATAAGTAGGATATTTTCCACCAGATATTTAAGTAATTACAATGTGAGTATTGTTATAAATATGGTATTCTCTATCACATTATTATAAGTAGGATATTCTCTACCAGATGTTTAGGTAATTACAATGTGATTATTGTTATAAATATGGTATTCTCCATCAAATTGTTATAAGTAGGGTATTCTCTACCAGATATTATGTAATTACAATGTGAGAATTGTTATAAATATGGTATTCTCCGCCTTTTATAAGTAGGATATTCTCAACCAAATGTTATGTCATTACAATGTGAGTATTGTTATAAATAGGGTATTCTCTACCAAATTGTTATAAGTAGGATATTTTCTACCAAATGTTTATATAATTACAATGTGGGTATTGTTATAAATATGGTATAAGTAGGATATTCTCCACCAGATGTTAAGTAATTACAATCCATGAGTATTGTTATAAATAATGTATTCTCTACCAAATTGTTATAAGTAGGATATTTTCCACCAGTTATTTATGTAATTACAATGTGAGTATTGTTATAGATATGGTATTCTCCACCTGTTATAAGTAGGGTATTTTCCACCAGCTATTTATATAATAACAATGTGAGTATTGTTATAAATAGGATATTCTCTACCAAATTGTTATAAGTATGATATTCTCCAACAGATGTTTACGTAATTACAATGTGAGTATTTTTATAAATAGGGTATTCTCCACCTATTATAAGTAGGATATTTTCCACCAGATATTTAAGTAATTACTATCTGAGTATTGTTATGAATATGGTATAAGTATGATATTTTTCACCAGATATTTAAGTAATTACAATGTGAGTATTGTTATAAATATAGTATTCTCTACCAAATTGTTATAAGTAGGATATTCTCTACCAGATATTTACATAATTACATTGTGGTTATTGTTATAAATATAGTATTCTCCATCAAACTGTTATGTAATTACAATCCATGAGTATTTTTATAAATAGGGTATTCTCCATCAAACTTTTGAATATTGGAAATAAACCAGTGTACATTGTGTAACTTTTTCTGTTTTTCATGGGTTATCCTTAAGAAGCAGATCATTCGTGATTTTTATTTTTTTGATTTGTTTCCATTGTCATGAATGTGTCTGTTTCTTAGAATAGTAAATAAATAATTGTTTTAAAACCAAAATCATTTTGTACATTATAAGAATTAAATGTTTACATGTATTTAGTTGCATGCTTATGTAAACAAGTCAAGTAACGCAGTTTAATTAATTACTGTATGTGTTATAACATGGTTTAGTTAGGTTGCCATGGTGTCTTGTCTGCAATAAGCCTCAGAAGCTGATCCCCACAAACGAACCCACTTGCCATCATAGATGACACATAAATGTAGACTAGATACTATATGTAGTTTATAGAAGTCGTAACAGTTTGATGCACAGTTGATTCTGTGAAACTTTATTTAGTCAATTGTCATCTAAGTCTCTGAATAATTTCAATTAGTTAGTTTAATGAAAGTGTAAAATAAAAGTTATTTAAATTCCAGAAATTGTAAAATAGAAGTTATTTAAATTCCAGGCACATGAATAATTTCACTTACCGTAGTTTGAATAAATTATGAAATAGCAGTTACTTAAATTTCAGGCACTATATGAATTTCACTTAGTTTGATGAAATTGTGATATAGAAGTTATTTAAAGTCCCGATGCACCATTTTAAGCAATAGCAATCACTTGCAAAATACACTTGCAAATAGGAATATCAGTCAAAAAATGGTTAAATTCCATTCAGTAGTTACAAAGATGTGGAATTGGAAATTTAATCGAAATATTCTGCTCACAATGTAATAATTAAGCCTGTCATTTTGTTGTCCGCGAATATTTATAAGTAGACTTTTTTAAAATCCAAGCCGTGAAATTATCTAGCGTAAATATTTTGATTTCTTAATTAAATGTTAAACAGTCTATCAGTACATTTTAGCCTGTATTAAATTGTGACAAATTTGATATTTTAGTGAAAAATGCATATGACACATCGATATTTTAAATTCAGTAGTCTGGATGTATAACCTTATTTATGCTATTTTTGTGTATAGAAAATAGATATGTAATATTTATTATATATATATATTAGTTGATAGATTTGTGTGGAGGGTCAATTATTAATTATGTATTTTACAGCTATTTATGTTTTAGTATCAGATTTATATCTTATTGATATTTAGCCGATCAGGTAGGCCTGATGTATTAGTATGTTATTCAGATGAAGGGCAGGAGGACTGCACTATACACAACACGAAACTAAAAAGACAAACTACACAGACATAGCCAGAAAAAAAACCCTCAAATTTTCAAATCAAGTGAATGGATCCGGAGGCGGTCGTAAGCGTCCGTAGATTATTCATATGTACACATTTAACAATTGCGCGACATATTTATTTTTCGCATTAATAGTTCAATTTGGTTTGCCACTAGCAGTCTCTGCAAGATGATTTGCTCCATTCATGTTGAAGATGGTTTTGTGGGTTTTTGGTTCTAAACAAAATTTCAGGGGAAATCAATGCAATTTGCAGATATATGTACTTGCATTTTGTTTCATGACGATAACCACATGTTGTCACAAGTAGGCTACTTACATTTGTTATACTCAAATATCTTTTAATTTGATTTAACTCTGATCTACGCATTTGAGATAACTAAATCTATTAATTCTTCAACAGGCAATTTGATTGACAAAAATATTGATTTTGTTCAAATTAGGCCAGGCCAATTACACCAATTTGATTTTCTGTACTTAATAACATCAATCTCTTTCAAAGGAGGATTACAGAATTCTTCTAATATTTCTGTAAAAGATGACTGCCTTCAACATGTGACGTCACACCACGCAGCATCAGTCATTGGATGAATGGCATGTGCATTGTTTACATAAGACGTTACTGGTTCGGGCAGAATGGTGCCTTTTACTCATTTTAATATCCATTTACACTAAATAGAAAATATTTTTTACCTACAAATACTTCAAACATCTTTATTTATTTTTCTAATACATATAAAAAAAAATGTTTTAGAATTTAATTTGTTGGAGGAAAAAAGTTAATATTTGGGGCTCATTAAGTCGCATCAATGTCATCCTTATCAATGATTGTAGCGGCCTTGCAAATATTCACTGCTGATCAGTGTGCGGGAACATCTGTAAAAAATTTTCTTTCTTACTTTTTCCTGAAAAAGATTTGTTTGAAAACCAAATGGACTTGGTAGTTAAGTTCGAAATATTTACGTTTTGAAATTTTAAATAAAACATCTGTCACATGGTTCTAGTAGCTATTTATTTATCAAGACTCTGAAGAACAGAAAATATAAATTGGTCTGGCCTCAGTGTGCTTGTTATTGTTCAATCTGATTAAAACACAGATCCTATTTCGTTTCGTTTTTATAGTTCAAAATCTCTTTTTACATGTCTTTACTACACTTGGATCTGGAAGAATTGTTATCATTGACATGTTCTGGATGGTGTGAGGGATTAGCCAATGAAACGGTCTGTTACGGCGAGTTTTTGGCCTTTTTACACACAGAACTGTGGGTAAACCACTACAAACGTCAACGCTGATTGATTAATTAATGTCTGACGTCATAGGGTAAAAAGCCACTCGTTTGACCCTTGACGTGAACTCCCACTATAACTTGTCAAATCTTCATGTAGTGTAGGCCATCGAAAGTATAAAAAATGAAACGAGATATAGATCTATATTTTAATCAAATTGTGTTATTATTAAGAAAAACCTCTTTACTGGATTTTTTTATCTGTTGAATTATTTTTAAATATCTTTGCAACAAAGCCAATTTTAAATGTATATTTGTGATTTATTAGTATTTAACTGTTAGTATTTCTTATGATTGTTATAAAAGCTGAAATTAATATACAAATCAGATGTTTTATTTATTTTGTGTTAATATTTTTAAAATCTTTAATATTCAAATATAATAATTTTGTATCCTTTTGTTCAATTTATGCAACTATTTTTGTTTGTTCAATTTATGCAACTATTTTTATTTGTTCAACTACCTGCTGTATTATTGAATTGTTAAATCATTAAAGGGGTATTATGGGAGATTAGATAAAGAGCTGGCAGTTCTCACTTTAATAGTTAAAAACTAGATAATGTAAAGGGAATTTGCTGAAAATTTCAGTCAAATTGATCCACTCTGAAGCGAGACATTAGCTTTTAAATTTCAGGCCTAGCCTCGATCATCATGGTTTTTCTTAATTTTTTAAATACCGGTAGTCGAAATACATGTATCTTTTAAAGATCTTGCCACTTTTCAGGAATTATAACCTCCATTCGATTTAACATAATGATAATTATATGTGATCGCATTACTAAATGCTGCCATTTTTATGTGCTCATATATTGATGTCACCTCTGTTAGTTCAGCAATACGCCTGTCGTTCACATTTCTTGTCAGAAGATAATTAGCTACTAATATACCAAAAATCTTTTGGAATTGACATGGGTTGTCTATCTTGTTGAAGTGAAGATAATTAGCTACTAATATACCAAAAATCTTTTGGAATTGACATGGGTTGTCTATCTTGTTGAAGTGAAGAACTCTGATTTTTAACATTTTTGATAATCACTACCAGAGTTGTGCCCCTTTGTTACTTCATAGTCTGGAAATATGACTCCATCTTTCAGAAATTTATATTGATAGTCAATCAGCTTTGTATGAAAGAATCCTATTGATTTTCAACAATGTTCTACTATTCTCTTTTTTCGCAAAAATTTGTTAGCACCTACATCAGTGGTTCTCAACCAGTGTGCCGTGGCACGCAGGTGTGCCGCGAGATCTTCCTAAGTGTGCCGCGAAAGTTTGCACAGCAAACTAAGAAAATGTGGAAAACCATGTTAACCTAATTGAGCATTCCCTAGAGTTCCTGGCTGTGTTTTTTTAATATTTAGTTTGAGTCATTCTATGTGTCTATTACTAGGTCTGTATCTACGGTTGTATGCCATCTGACTTATCATCATTTTATTTTGCAAAATTCAAATTTTTTTTCATATATATTTAGCGAGATGTGCCGCTATTTTTTTATGCGTCCCAAAGTGTGCTGTTGGAAAAAAAAGGTTGAGAACCACTGAACTTTATGTTAGTCTTTATAATGATCTGATGTTTTTTAAATTTTGCGAGTAGTTTAATTACTTTAATATCTCTTAAAATACAGATGCGACGTCATCCTTTGATGTTGGCGTACCATTATTTCCAATAATGTACGGGCAACTTGCCAGTCTAACATTATCTATACTAGATGAAATATTGGACTCGCGTGACGTATGTCATTGAAAAGCATGTGGGGGATAGTGTCTGTATTTTAAGTGGTTTAATGGTCTCGAGCTAAAGACATTGCGTAATATATTGAAACAACACTCGGCTAACACCTCGTGCAGTATCAATATATTACTTAATGTCTCGCTCTCGACCATTAAACAATACATAATGGCTTAGACGACTTAACGCTGGGGCATGATATTTCTGATGGGCATGAATCGTAAACCAAATATCTTTGTTTTCTTACTTTTTTATCTTTGAACAATGTTATTCTGTGTTTTTTTTCAATTTTTATTAACAGATTTATTATAGGCATAAAAATATATAACTTTTTGTGCGGCTGTAATGAATAAATATTGTGGACGGTAGTATTCTTTTGTTACATTTAATTGTGTTTATTCTGTTTGTAATAAAACCTAATATTTAAAAAACGTTTAATACCTGTAGTAGTTTGTTTTTTTAAATGCTTATAGTTCATAGGCCGGGGGAAGGGTCTGTGCGGGTAACAAAATGAAATAAAATGGGGGTTTAACATCCTACTGTTCTGCTTCATATGGGATAATGAAGATGGCATGCAGTGTGCTATGAGGAAATTTTGCCTGGACAGCGGCTATATGTATGGCCTACCTGTATTTCAAATTCCAACTGTCAAGGGGTCTTTTACATGTATGGGGGGTTGGATGGCCGAATGGTTAGCACGCGCGCGCTGTATCATAAGGCATGTCATTGAGTCAACTTGCGTGGTTTCGAATCCTCGGTTGTATGTGACAAGTAGGGTTGCCTGTCCAACCTCTTGGGTTTTCTCCGGGTCCTCAGGTTTCCTCCCACTGCTAAAAGACCCCTTCGAGCAAGCGAATTATTGAAATAAAATTAAACCATAAGTTAGTCCCAAAATGACCTAGTCTGGGTCGAGTGGATGTTAAACTCCATTTTTCTTTCTCTTTTACATGTAGGCCTACACAGGACCTTCGATTTTCGTCCCATCCAAATGACTATGTTTTCCCTTGCCAGGCCCTCCATCCTGCACCGCTGACAAGGGGAAACCACACTGAGAAATCCCAGTTGAACTTTCTCAGTGAATTAACAGTGTGATTGAATGCGGGACCTCCAGGTTAGCGAGCCAATGTCTTACTCACTGTACCACTGCTCCCATTTCTAAATTTAAACTAATTAAATTGGAAATTGTGGGGATATCAAATAGCATTCTGCAATATATAAAATTTCAAGTTATTTATTTTATAGAGACCAAATGACTAGGCCTATCTTGGTTTATTTGCTAGGCCTACGGGACAGCTATAGCTATAGGTACTGTATAACTTGGGGGATGACACGTCTGCACAGATTTAATAAAATGATTTGCAAATTTGGTTGATACAGAAACAAAAATTCATAATTTTCTTTCTGTCTTGATGAATTTTTTTTTTTAAATAAGCCCCCTGTAGTAAAGGACATAGAATCAAGCCACTCGTTTTGTCGTTTCTGCCGGTGTACTGCTCCGAGTGACTAGAAAACTAAGTCTAAATTTCGTCTGCTTGACTAATGATCGAGACTACCTTTGCACCGGAAGTTGAAGTTCTGCCATGTAAACAAGAAGTAAAAGTGTAACGTGGAGAGTTTATTTATGTATTTTTACATACTTTTGAGATATTTTAGAACTTCATTCTTGGCAGCATCAAACTAGATCAGAATGGTAAGTTCTTGAATTCATGCAACTTCTAGCATTAAATTTCAGTACATGTAAAATGCAATAATCTCTCAAATTCTTATACGCCTGGCTAGACATGATTCATATACATTGACATTCCGCCCGGTTCATAAAAATTAAAATTTATGACAGACTCATTCCAAAGTTAAATATGTATAATTAAGATTCCCAGTTCGCGTGCTATTCATTATAAGTCAAGTAATAACCTGATTTTGCCAAATTATTTAATTGATTAAAGTTAAAAACAATAATAAATCACCGATAGGGTGGTAGGAGGGTGGTAGGTATATAATTATTAACTACCCTGATTATATAGCCTTACGGTACTGCTAATGATTATTATAGTTATTTATATCATTAATTTCAGGATTATTCAAAGTTTCTTGATGATAATTTTGATGCTAAAGAATGGGTAAATGCAGCTTTTAAGTCTCACAAAGATGGAGCAGTTTCAAAGGATGTAAGTGTAGCTATGCATGGGCTGTCTAATAATATAATTTATGGTTTCTTCACCGAACCTCTTCAACAAGGCTTACCTAAGCTGTTCGTTCAGTAATTGTGAACACATCCTCGAGAGCTAATGATCAGCTTTTCCTTAAAATATAATGAGTTGCCAAGTGCTACGGGCAAACTGTAATCAAAACACCACTGACAGGCAGTGACTGCTTCTAACTGGCATGACGTACATGGCCTCACATGACAAATGATGTGACCAAATTGGCCTACCTCCTTATACCATTGCCATTATTAGCAGAAATATGCTGATACCAGTAATTAAAATGCAATGATAAGATGAACGATACTGGTTATTTATTGTTGATATTAATCTATGTTTTCAGCAATATGCCACAACACTGGTTATGAAGCTACAAATGTTTATTCAGGTAGGCCTTATAGTTGTCACGGGGGAGGTGATTGGTTAAATGCATGCACATTATATCACAAGATCTGTCATTGAGTCAAGTGGTGTGTGTAGGGTTGCCTGTCCCACCTCGTGGGCTTTCTCTGTGTGTTCAAGGTCTCCTCCCACTTCTAAAGACCTTACCGCCCAAGCGAATTATTGAAATAAAATTGAACCATATGTTAGCCCCGGATGACCTACTTTATTGGGTGGGTTAAAAACAACACTGTGGATAGAAAATGATAAATTAAATGTTGAATCATGAATTGAAATATGTCAACATTTTCTAACTCCTCTGGAGTGGTTGACCATTTACAAGATCTGTATGCGTGTTATTCTTTTGAAATTTGGGAGCCATGCTGGCTAGCTAACCTGGAGGTCACATGTTCGATCCCTGAACTGGCCGAGAGAGTTCATCAGTATTTTCTGGCTTAGTTCCACCTTGTTAGTGATTCAGGACAGAGGGCCTGCCAAGGGACAATGTATAGGCATTTGGATGGGACAAAAAATTGAGGTCCCGTGTACATACTGAAGTGCATGTAAAAGAACCCTCGGCCTTGATAGCTGGAATTCGATATTAGAGTAGGCCGTAGTGCTGCTGTCCAGGGAAAATTTTCCTCATAGCATACTGCATGGCGTATGCCCGTCTTCATTAGAAAAGTCGAAGAATAACAGTAGGACGTTAAACCACATTTCATTTCTTTCATTCCATTCTGTCCCTAAATGAATGGTAAATTCTTATTTATCACTGTTTTATTTGATAATTGTAGGAGGTGAATAACATTTTAGAAGAGGCCAGTCAACAAGCTCTACAGAATTTACCCAGGTATATAACACACAATTTTCTCAGTGTCATGACCATTGTGTGGGTACTATCCTTACAATGGTAATGTATTAAAAACTAAAAATTCCGACTGTCAGTTCATGTAAAAAGATATGTGGACAATTGGACTGCGAAAAGTGTGGGGATGAATTTTGCTGCTTATCATAACATTTTAAATGTAGCTACATGTATGTAAGGTTGAAATAATTATATTAGTTTCAAAATAACCTATTTGAAGTGTCAACAATACCTTACACCCAAATCCATTAACTCCTCTTTCCTTATTATCACCTCTTATTTAGGAATAGTTTCATCAATATATGTTATTCATAGTTAATGACTATATATTTTGAACTAGGATGTGACCCACCGCACAATGTTGCAATAATGTATATCGTATTGTTAAATATAAGCAGCATTTAGAAACTGAATAGAATAACACATGACACAATTATATGGGATTCAAGGTACTTAGAAGTTAACTTCTTGTGATGTTTGGACAAGGGTTCTCTTTTGTATTCCATGTAATTGTGTCATGTGTTATTGTATAATGTATTTTGAAACACTGAGCTTGGAGTTAAACTGAATCTTAGATTTCTTCAAGGTGAATAATATATAATATATATGGGTCAACTATTTGTTTAAACACTATTATGTACTGAACGTGACAAGGAATAGGGTCGCCTGCCCAACGTCGTGGGTTTTCTCTGGTTCCTCCGGTTTCCTAAAAGATCCTTACACGCAAGCGAATTGTTGAAATAAAATTGTACCATATGTTAGTCCTGAAATGACCTAGTCTGTGTCGAGTGGATGTATAATGTACTTTGAAAAACTGAGCTTTTTTCTAGGGGATAAATGTATATTATATATGGGTTATTAGTTTGGTTAAGAACGATTTACTTGATTTTCATTGTAGAGTTATGAGAGAATTAGATGCTGTAAGACAAGAAGCATCTTTATTACAAGATCAGATGAGAATGGTTAAACAAGATATTCAAAAGGTAAGGTAAATCTATTCTAAAGGGGGAGGGTGGTGGTTCAGTAAAACGATGGACACATTAGCCGAATCGTTCGGCCAAATCAATCGGGGACCCATTTTTATTCGGCTGAATGGTTAATTGGACACAATAGGCGAATCCTTCGCCTGATCCATCAGTCAATTGAATCACCTTTCACATCAAATGATTAAACATGGCGGCAGCTATGATTAAACATGGCGACAACTATGATAACACATGGCAGTGACTAGGATTACACATGGCGGCGACTAGGATTACACATGGCGGCGACTATGATAACACATGGCAGCGACTAGGATTAAACATGGCGACAACTATGATTACACATGGCGGCGACTATGATTACACATGGCGGCGACTAGGATTAAACATGGCAACAACTATGATTACACATGGTGTCGACTATGATTACACATGACGGCGACTATGATTACACATGGCAGCGACTAGGATTAAACATGGCGACAACTATGATTACACATGGCAGCGACTAGGATTAAACATGGCGGTGACAGTGGACACGCTAGGCGAATTTCAATGCTGATTGATTTGGCCAAATCATTCGGCTAGTGTGCCAACGCTTAAGTATGGTCTGATGTACCTGATAGCATGCACGTAAAAGAACCTGCTCTCCTGGCAAAATTTCCCTCATAGCGCATATACGGTGCAGAAGTGTATGGCGTTTAACCCCATTCCATATCATTTCATATTCTATTATTAAGGTATGAGACATGCAATGTTTAATATTGATTAAGTAAGCGAAGAAAACTTAATTATATACCATCAATGTCTTTCCATTTTCCATTGCTAATACCAGATATACTAATTATCATATTAATTGTAAGTTGAACAATGGTCAATGCCGGTTTTAGTAAAACTAGATATCATATTAATTGTAGGTTGAACAGAGTACAGCCCAGTCAATGCAGGTTTTATTAAAACTAGATGGTATTAAAGGTAGAATGAAAACAACAGCAGAGGCTCTTAAGGTAAACTTTTGAAAAGTTCAATACAGTAAATCTTGATAGTAAATAAATAATAATCATATAGCACTGGAATTGAAATAAAATTTAATCACATGTTAGTCCCGAAATTAGTGGACATTCAACTGATTTTTCTATATAAATGACCTTATATTTGTTTTCAGGAAGCTGATAATTGGACAACATTAAGTGCAGATGTGGAAGATGTTTTCCTTTCAGAAGATGTACAAGCTGTGAGTAATTTTAAACTTTTATTTGGAGGGGGATTATTAGTACTATAGTAGGACTCGTATACTAAAAACATACAAATAATCAAATACCTTGAAAATATATTAATATTAATGATTTAGTGTATATATATCTTAATATTACATATCCCAATATTTATTTTGTTAGGCCCTATATTAATGATTTAATTATATTACCTATACAAATATTTATTTTGTTATCATTATTTAATGTTTATATATCTACATATACAAATATATATTTTGTTATCATTTAATGTTTATATATCTTAATAATATTACATATACAAATATATATATTTTGTTATCATTATTTAATGTTAATATAAATATTACATATACAAATATATATTTTGTTATCATTTAATGTTTATATATCTTAATAATATTACATATACAAATATATATATTTTGTTATCATTATTTAATGTTAATATAAATATTACATATACAAATATATATTTTGTTATATTAATGATAAAATGTTTACTTATCTTGATATTTCATATACAAATTAAACATTTATACTTAAAATTCATCTTTTTTAGATCACTGCTAAACTGACAGGCATGCAACAAAGTCTTGTAAGTATTTTAATTTTTATTTGTTCACTATTTAAATATTAACTTGGGTTTTACATAATTGAACAGAGAAAATGAATTGCTTTGTGTTAGTCTGAAAATAATTGAAATGTTTTATCAATGTGGAATTAAAACCTCATATAACTGTTCGCTTAGTGGTTCAGTTAGTAAGATGCTGGCTCACTTACAAGGAGCTGTCAAGTTTGCTCCTGCAGTTGGCCGAGAAAGTTCATCAGGATTTTCTGGAACAGTTTCCCTTGTCAGTTTTGCAGGATGGATAACCTGGGAAGGATGGGATGGAAAACATTAAAACCTGATATCACTGTTCTCTTCTGACAGTAATAGTGTATAATCCTGGAGCAACGGTGGCTCAGTTAGTAAGATGCTGGTTCACTTACCAGTTTGCTCTTTGTGTTGGCCGAGAAAGTTTTTCGGAATATTCTGATGCAGTTCCCCTTGTCAGTGTTGCAGGACGGAGGTCCTGGCAAGGATGGGAAGGAAAACCAAGGTCCTGTGTGCACATTGACGTGCACGTAAAAGAACCCTTGACAGTTGGAATTCGATTCAAAAGTAGGCCATAGCGTTGCTGTCTGGGCAAATTTTCCTCATAGCACACTGTATGGCGTATGCTCTTCTTCATAAGCCCAGTCGGTGCAGAACAGTAGGACATTAAACCCCATTTCATTTCATTTCATTACACAATATAACTCTTCATTTTAACAGCAAATGTTGGTTGATACCCCAGATTATGCCGACCGATGTCAACATTTAGAGAAATTGAAGAATAGATTGGAAGCTATATTGAGTCCTCAGCTTATTTCAGCTTTTAATACACAGTCTTTGGGTAAGATATTCATATATCTAGTTGAACATACATAATTCACAGCGCTGTATCATAAGATCTGTCATTGGGTGAACTGGCGTGGTTTGTATGTTAGTTAATCCTGAAATCACCTAGTTTGTGTCAAGTGAACATTAAACTCTCTCTCTCTCTCTCTCTCTCTCTCTCTCTCTCCAATAAAGATGTTAGTTAATTAAATTATAGGGGGGTTGAATCAACTGGCGGGGTTTCGATTCCCCTAAAGACCCCTATGCGCAAGCGAATTATTGAAATAAATTTGAACCATGTGTTAGTCCCAAAATGACCTAGTTTGTGTCGAGTGGACGTTAAACCCTGTTTCTCTCTCTCTGTATTTTTAAGGCGTTCCTTTAGAAAGCTCTAATTTGTTTTTAATTATAGAATCTGCCCAGAAGTATACGAAGATGTTTAAGAATATAGAGAGACTACCACAGCTATATAAATATTATCATAAATGTCATAAGGTTTGTTATTTTGTTACAGATATTTTATAAACATACATTATGCAAGAGTTAAATCTTCCTATTGCGGGTCTTTCTTTAGGCCTGAAATGTTCTATAAGATTATATAAAGAGCTGACAGTTTTCGTTATAATAGTTAAAAACTAGATAATGCAATAGAATATACTGAAAATTTCAGTCAACCGAGATATTAGCAATTGAATTTTAGGCCTAGCTTCGATCATCATTACTAAAGTCTTGATTATCCATTTTGATGATAAATCATCCATCACAAAATCTATTCAAATCCAGTAAATATGGTATCGAGAGTTGATTATGGTCTGTTTAAGCTCTTGCATAATGCAATTTAAGTGGCATTTAGAGATTGGGAAACACATTAAACAGAACACAATTATTATGGGAAATCAATCACAGGTGTTATTATATAAACACAAGGTTTCGACAAGTATCTTCTTAAATGTTATCAAGCACAATGACATTTAGTAAACTTGATGTCAATATTAAGAGGTGAAGCCGTTTACAAAAACATTGTGCTTGTAGAATAAAACCAATGATTGTTTTCCATAAAAATTATGTTCTGTTAAATTGTTAATTTTACAATAATTGATATCAGGAAGTGATATTCATAAAACTTTTGCTTGTTGTCGTATCCTTTAGACTGTATAAACACTATTTTATTACAGGGTAAGATATTAGAAAGTTGTATAATTATTTGTATAAACACTATTTTATTACAGAGTAAGATATTAGAAAGTTGTATGATTATTTTATTACAGGGTAAGATATTAGAAAGTTGTATAATTATTTATTTAAACGATATTATATTACAGGGTAAGATATTAGAAAGTTGGAGAGATATAGTGGATAGTAAACAAGATGAGACAGCTATAGATTGGATGACAGAATTATATGATCATTTATTATCAACATGGCATTCACAGGTAATTCTTCCTATAATTCATCTCTTTAGTCTTTCATTCATTCCAGTGTCACTAGACAAACAATGTAATCAAATTTGTATTTTTTTTGTTAGTGTTAAAATATATGGTCGTGTTTATAATAGTTCTTGAATGTTTTCGTACAAATGTATTTTGAATTTTCTACAAACAAAATTTTACTATGAGATAACAAAACACCAAAGTTGTTAGAAAGTTCACTTTTTTCGACTACAACCTTTCCAGTTTTGTCTGAAGATTGCAAAACCATTGCAATGCACCCTTTCTTTAATTACAGGAGCCATTGTATATATAACAGCCTTGTCAACATACTTTCCAATTACAAATCGGCTATGAGAAATCTAGTGAATGGATATTTTCAGCATACTCCTTTTACATTATCTAGTTTTAACTATTATAGTGAGAACTGCCAGTTCTTTATCTAATCTTCCATAATGAATTAATGAATGTAATATATATTTTTGTAGATACGATGGTGTGGTCAGGTATTCAGTGATCCAGTACCTATTGTATGTGATTTGTTGACAGAATCATTAACGAGTATAGATCCATCGTTACCTGTTTGTATTGCTGGTTTACTATCATCTAGAGGTGATACATTAACTACACTTACAGAATTAAAACAGGTACTGACTGCTTCACCCTTTCATATTACAGGTTGTCATAATTAAAACGTCTAGAAGGGGGGTTGGGTTGCCGAATGGTTTGACATGCATACTTTAGATCATAAGGTCTGTCATGGAGTCAGGTGGTTTGGTGTTGATTCCCAGCTTGTACGTGACAAGGAGTAGGGTTACCTGTTCGACATTGTGCGTTTTCTCTGCGTCCTCCGGTTTCCTCTCACTGCTAAAGACTCCCAAGCACAAGCGAATTATTGAAATAAAAAAGAACCATGTGTTAGTCCCGAAATGACCTAGGTTGTGTCGAGTGGATGTTAAACCCCATTTCTTTTTCCCAATGTCAAAAGAATATAGCACTGTATTCCAATTTAATGTTCTGAAAGGGATATAACTCCTGAATGCCATAGTTGATCCATTTCACCATTTGTAGACTTTGTTTTTAAACCAGCATGGTTTAGATATTGGGAATTGATTATTTCTTGCTATGATTTAAAATTTATTGTTTTACTGTACCAGATAGATTTAACTCTGTGATATGGGGTGGGGAGGAGGGGAGCCAGGGTTGATCATCGAGAAAGTTGCTGGGGGAACAGCGTCTAGTCATTCAGATGGGATGAAAAACAAGGGTCCCCTTAAAAAACCCTGAACAAAATCTCCCCCATAGCACACTGCATGGTGTGTACACCTACCTTCATTAGACCAGTGAACTGTTCAAATAGATTAACACTTTGTAAATGAAATGACATGAAATGGGGATGAACTTTAACATCCAACTGTTCTGCTCTGACTGGGTATTGGAGACGGGCATATGCCAAGGGATCTTTAAGGTGCATACCAATGTGTACACAAGACCTCGGTTTTCCGTCTCTTCCAACCAACTAGACAGCTGTCCTTGTCAGACCCCCTGTCCTGCACCACTGACAAGGGGAAGCCACATCTTTCCCACTTAGCCACCGTGGCTCCCCTAACACTTTGTACTTTTGCCTCTGATTCCTTCATGTATTCTTCTAGCCTAAATCTTAACTGTCTGTTTTCAGATATCAGAAAGATTCGCAAAGAATATTGAAAATACCGTTGAAGCCCATATGAATGGTAAGTATATGTATATCTTTTTACTATGATGATGGCTATGTAGTAACATAAATATTTGTTACAAAAAGAATTATATTGATCTGAAATATGAACAAAAAAACATAAGACAGTTAAGTTCACAATCTGGTCCCAAGTTCACAAAGCATTCTCAAACTTAAGTTAAGAATTCACTCAACATTCAAAATCACTGTTTATGAGAAATATCTTTGATCCAGAAACACAAAACTCTGCATATAATCTCTTATTGATATATTTGATACATTAAAACAACAAACGTTTTATAAAGGGTATATTTTAGTTAAAATAAGGTGAATAATTTTGAGTAAATTCTTAACTTAAGGCTGATTAAAAAACTGATCCTATTTACCTGTGTGATGTGATGGATTAGCCAGTGGATTAGAACAGTAGGACGTTAAACCCCATTTCATTTCATTTTATCGTGTGGCATGCGGAATTGTGTTCAGAAATTTGCTAGAAAATAAAACAAAGAAAATTGTATTTCCGAATAACCACTTGGAATATTGACGCTGATTGGTTAAGTGAATGAATGACGTTTCAGGGTCAAAAGTCGCTCTTATTCTGACGCAACCTCCCACTGCAGTCTGTTAGATCTTCATGTAGTGAGGGCAATCAAAAACATTAAAAATAAAGCGAAATACATTGAAATGTATTTTAATCAGATTGTTAAATACATAAGTCCAACCTCATGGGTTTTCTCCGGGTCCTCCGGTTTCCTTAAACGGCTAAATTTAAAGACCCCTACACGCAAGCAAATTATTGAAATAGAATTGGACAATTTGTTATTCCTGAAATGTCCTAGTTTGTGTTGAGTGGATGTTAAACCCCATTCCTCTTTATCTCTTTTAAACACATAAAGTCATAAAAAAATTGGATTTTTTTTGTATATTTAACAGAGTCGTTGGAACATTCAAGAAGTTTAGAGAGATTGTTGTTGAACATATATTCTCCATATAGATCATATCTACTGAAATATACGACATTACAAGAGGTCGTCCTAATTAACGATCTAGATAACATTAAACTGGTGTGTAAACTCTTTTATTTCTCTACTAGAAGAATACCTGAGGGCTAAATTGGACCGGGGGCCAAATTTGCACGGGGCCCATATTTTTCCCGGCCAAAAGTCGCCCAGGACCCAATTTGCACAGGGTCCAAATTCGATAAGAAATTCGATGGCCTAAAGCATTCACAGAATCATGGTGGTTAATTTCATACCACATATGTGGGGGTGGATTCCCAGTTTGTACATGACAAGAAATCCAAAATAAATTACTGAAATAAAGTTGACCTAGGTTGTGTCCAGTGGAGGTTAAACTCTCTCTCTCTCTCTCTCTCTCTCTCTCTCTCTCTCTCTCTCTTATTTTGAATGGTTATTGATTTTCAGGATCATGAAGAGGTGATGGATACTGTTCAAATACTGGCTGAATCTGTCAACAAATTATTTACAGCTGCTAAACACGTATGTTTATCTCCTTATATCACCTTATATCACCCAATAACACATTCTACAGTAGATATCGCTTGTGTGATAACTTTCATAATCTATTGAGCGATATCTCCTTTACATGAATTTGATTGGTCAATTTAAAAGGAACTACTTTTTTTTATTTTCAAAGAATAATTCATTTTTTATTAAAAGTAACTTCTTGTTTACTAAAAAGTAACTATTTTAATTACACTGGGTCAATATAACAGACTTGCCATAATGTAATCAAGTTCTGTAAAAGTGAAATCTATAGTTAAGAATTATATTTATTTATTTTTGCGTGTAAGAACGGATTGGGTGATAAATAATATCTCCTACTCTTCTTTTTTGATTTTAAAAAAATGTTGGCACTCGTTGCCTCATTTTTTTTTTTACTTAATCGACTTGTGTTGATATTTTATGACTTTGATATTTTATGACTCGTAGGAGATTCTCTATATATCATGCTATCAAAATAGCATACAGAGCTTACAAAAGCTGGGAGCTGGGGTGGCTTAGTGAGTAAGACATTGGTTTGTTAACCTGGAGTTCCCGTGGTCAATCCCGGTGTTGTCCGAGAAAGTTCATCAGGATTTTCCCATGTCACTCCCCCTTGTTAATGATGCAGGATGGAGGGCCAACGTGGTTCCCACTTGTCAGTGGGGCAAGAGGGAGGGCCTGGCAAGGGACAGATAGTTGTTTGGATGGAACGAAGTACCTAGGTCCCGTGTACGCATTGGTGTACACGTAAAAGAACCCCTAGCAATTTGAATTCGATATAAGAGTAGGCCGTAGCGCCACTGTCTAGGCAAAATTTCCCTCATAGCAGGGAATTGAAACCCCATTTCATTTCATTTATCCGTCTTCATTAGCCCTGTCGGAGCAGAACAGTAGGACGTTAAACCCTATTTCATTTGTGTTTTATGTTTTTTTCATATTTTATTTTATCTGCAGGCAAATGATAGATGCCAGAAGTTGACAAATGGTTTTTGCTATGTTGGACTTCTTGATGCTTATAAAGTAAGATTTACATTAATACATTCAAACTTTAAATAAATGTTCTTTGTAAAGGTTATATTGAATTGTTTAATTTGCTGGATAAAGACATCATTTGGGGGTTGGGTGGTGCGTTTTAAATCATATTGAGTCAAGTGCTGTGGTTTTGAATCTCAGCTTGTACGTGACAAGGAGTAGGGTCGCCTGTCCAACCACATGGGGTTTCTCCGGGTCCTCCGGTTTCCTCCCACTGCTAAAGACCCCTACACACAAGCGAACTATAGAAATAAAAAATTGAACCATGTGTTAGTCCTGAAATGACCTAGTTTGTGTCGAGTGGACGTTAAACCCCATTTCTCTCTCTCTCTCTGGTGCATTTTAGATCGTAAGATCTGGCATTGAGTCAAGTGGCGTCATTTCAATCTCAGACTTGTACATGACAATTAATAGGGTTACTTATCCCACAGATAAAGACTCCTAATTAAACCATATGTTAGTCCCGAAATAACCTGTTTTATGTCGAGTGGACGTTTAACCTTATGTCTTAGATCATAAGGTCTGGCATTGAGTCAAGTGGCGTCGTTTCAATCTCAGACTTGTTCCTGACAATTAATAGGGTTACTTATCCCACAGCTAAAGACTCATAATTAAACCATATCTCAGACTTGTTCCTGACAATTAATAGGGTTACTTATCCCACAGCTAAAGACTCATAATTAAACCATATGTTAGTCTCGAAATAGCCTATTTTATGTCGAGCGGACGTAAAATATTATTTCTCTCGTGCTCTCGAAAGATCTCCAAGTAATAAACATGAATTGTATTCCATGAAATTGTGTACTGTGTTAGTCGTATTAAATTATTTGTGTGATTTATTTCAGACATATTTTGTAAGTTATTGTCGTGAGTTTCGCCGTGTATTAACTAATATCCGAGAGAAATGTGGGATAAATAAAGGAACAGAGGGAGAGGATTGGTCAGATTTTCAACATTCATTACGTCTCATTCAAACTTGTGGTATGTATGATTTTATCAGAGGGGAGAGGTATCCGAGCAGTAGAGTACAAGGGCCTGCCTTAATCACGAAAACTTAAGCTAAAATATCTTAAGGAATCAGCCATTTCATTGGTTGAGGGGAACACCCTATTACAAATTGTAGCTTTGTGCCAATGAAAGGGCAGAATTCTTGAATACTGGCATGTTGACAAGAATGTCGCAGGTTTGAATCATTCGTGCCGTAGTCCTAGAAGATCCCTCGGAATTTTTTCTACTTGGTTCTCACTTTGTCAGTGGTGGCAAATGTTGGACTGACAAGGAAAGTTATCTTAGTCGTAAAACTGGTTAACCAATGTACACATTGTGATTGTTCGGATGAGACATAAAAACAAAATTAATACAGAATAAATTGGCAGTTTGGATTTACAAAGTTGAAATGAGGAATAGATGGAAATACTTCTGTTTATTGCAATAAATATTATATTCCTGGTAATAAATATCGTATTCATGGTAAAAAATATTATATACATGGTAATAAATATTATATTCAAGGTAATAAATATATTCATTGCAATAAATATTATATTCATTGCAATAAATATTATATTCATTGCAATAAATATTATATTCATTGCAATAAATATTATATTCCTGGTAATAAATATTATATTTCTGGTAATAAATATTGTATTCCTGGTAATAAATATTATATTCCTGGTAATAAATATTGTATTCCTGGTAATAAATATCATATTCATGGTAATAAATATTATATTCCTGGTAATAAATATCATATTCATGGTAATAAATATTATATTCATTGTAACAAACATTATACTCATGGTAATAAATATAGTATTCATGGTAATAACTATATTATATTCATTGTGATAAATGTTATATATTGATTGTAATAAATATTATATTTAAGGTGATTTAATATTACATGCTGAGGAATTAGATCAAGAAGTGGTTAGCTCAATATTACATTCTGTTGGTAAACATATTGGTACTGCCTCGCCATCTAGAGATGGAGAGAAAAGGTATTAAGTCTAATAGTTGATATTATTTAAGATGCATTATGTCAAACTTAGATAAAGAGCTGGTCGTTCTTGCTACAATAGTTCAAAAATAGATATTTATAAATGAATATTTTGATAATTTCAGTTAAATTACTTTATTCTGAGCAATGTTAAGAGTGTTTGGAGTACCATTTCTTTGATAAACAAACTATTAAATAGCGATTCTGTTTTAATCCATTCAATTTACGACCATGGTAGTTTTCCTATCTATAAAGTGTTGATAGAGATACACTGTAACCAGGGTATCATTTAATCTTTAAATTGTTGTTTAAAAATACATAAAAGTTGTCTTAAATATCCCATATCACTTAATTTGTAGGCCCACATGTGTCCAGTTTAAAGCTGACCATTTAATTAGGATATC